TGGTATGCTGGATTGTATTGCCAGTAGTAGAGGTGATACCAACAGCCTGATGAAGGGATCTATAATTTCGTTGAGATAGCTTGTTATAAGAAACATGTTATATATTATACTTGCTCAAGTCTAGAGCAGTACTCTGGTAGTTTTTGGTTGAGCTGTCGTTGAACTGGATTGTAGTGTGGAACCAAAAGTAGGAGATTTGTAGGCGTGAGCTGTAAAACTTCTAATGATCATCACTATACCTTTTATAATCCGTAGAACAACACGCAAATGACGTTTCAGCGCGGCTACCATTCTGTCCGGCGTCGTTTGTCATCTTCGCAGTTTATGGATACGCGGCAAACACTGAATGCATCTGTCTGCAAGTTTTCATTAATTGTTGTTCTCTTCTTTGTGTTGAACTCTGTTCAGGGAGTCAATTCAACACTGATATAAGCATTAAATTTCAAAAATAAAGGTGCGCAATACCTTTCCCTCCAGAAATTGACCCATCGCGCCAGTGATGTTTACTGCCGCCTCGAACTCGGCGATGCAACTCTTATCATCCGATTTACAGAAAACAGAAGGGATGAGACGGTTAAAATGGCGCTTACTAGAGGAACCAAATACTATGGGGAGACTCGGAAATACAGTTGAGTTCGATAAGACTCTGATTTCCCGAAGGTTGTATAGCGTCTGTTGTTCCAAAAAGCATACTTGAGTTTTCGGATTCATCTGCATAGATGACGAGCAATGTTCCCTGTACGTTGTTACTAATCGTATCCAAAAAATGCTCGAATCTTGCATAAGAGTATTGTTCAAGTCAGGCTCAATCATCGTGTTTGACTGTTGGGCCAGTTATGGGCGTAATGAACAGATTTTGAAAAACAAATCGATTTTAAAGAAAATAATGTCAATTAGAGATAGTCTAACGTCCTGAATTGGGTCAGGTTGTGAAAGAGAAATAGTTAAACGGCTGGTGCCTTATCTTTCTTCTTTTATTTACATCTGGTGGTTGTCTTAAACTTATTTCTTTCACGTAAATATATTAAATTACACTACATACTTATAGACGAATCAATGTTGACAACACTCATCATCTCTCTCTGCCTTGGATCCAAAGTACACGCAGGTATGACTCCTTTAATGATTAGAATAGGTAATTCGACAGATTTGTCTTTTGCTCGACTAGAAAATACAGATACTTACGTAAATATATAACTTTCAGGCAACATTGCCTCTTCCATCTTTCCATCAACAGCCGCTGCTCCAGAAGAGCGTAGGTTCTCTCTTGAAAACACATCGTCATTCATCGACGTCGACGTGGAACTGGCCAAGATAACCGCTACCTGTCTAACTTCTCAAAATTACGAACAGCTAGCGGGTAACATTGTGCGGCACGGCATTGTGCGATCATTTTTTGGCGTGTTCTTAGTGAGAGAAAGCGTGGCTACCATAGGCCTCGCAGAGTTGCGTGCGGCACTCGGTTTTGCACCGCTGCCTCCTTGGCAACACTTTAACGAAACGGAACCGAGTGAAGACGAGCTGTCAGTCGCACCGACGATAGAAGCCTACTACGACCTGAGAGAACCGCGCTCGTCGAAAAGAAGTCTCGATAGTTATTACTTGCTAGAGGGCAATATGGTTCCTGCCATCGCCTTTTTAGACGAGAAGTTCCCGGCGATACGCACGATGTTCAGACTCAAATTCAGAGCTGTTCGTCTGGAAAATTCAGGATTACCGGATAGAAAAATGGTCGATCGCTGCATTGACGAATTTGTCAAAATTAAGGCCGAAATAAACGGCGCAATCACAGAGATGTTTGCAATAGAAGACAAATGCATGGATAAAGATGAATGAAATTATATAAATATTTGTATTTTAATAACTACCGTATATGTGTTATCTTCTGAGTTTCTTTGAAACAAACTTAACTTGTCTTTTAAGAATTATAACGATGAGTTCCGAAATTCATTTTTGCAGCGTGAGGGAAGTGTGGAGCGGTTGTGATTTGTATGCATATATGTATATATATACATATATATATATATATATATGTAAAGCATTAAGTTGGAGTAGTTATATGCGTATGTTCATCCCTAATCTTCTCCTCATCGTACTGAGATATGTATATTGTATGGTTATGTAAAGAAAAACGTCGTTATGCACAAGGACACAGACGAAATGAGGCGAGAAAGTTTACAATATTCAATTGAACATGTTAGAAACACATCCATATATGTCTATCATGATAATCGTATGCCCATATTTGTTTGTGAATTAAACTTTTTCATAGAAACTGTAATGAAAGCAGCTGATCCATTTATGTTTTTAAATCAGATAAGATGGTGTTTCTTCATTTTTATATTTTTATTTTAACTATAATCATTGTAAACGATCAATTTGTAATTATTTTTGTTTGGAAAAATGAGCCAACCCAACTAAATGCAGTGAATAGCATTGTATGGAGTGTAATACAAACATATTTTTTTATTCAATTCATTTATTGACTTAACTTATTAAACGATTAGTTAAAGTCAAACAGCTTTTTCTTTTAATTCCAAATTAACATGTATCCAATTACGGTAGATATCTGTCGACAAATATTAGCATAAAGGACGCTTTAGCTCATCTTCCTCATTCGTTAATTAGGATATGATGGATCTCTGGATTATCTTATGAACTTTGCTGATCTTCAGAAGACTGAATGAATGCTCTCTCATATATCTTGTTGTGATGATCGTCTTTGATGAAGCGTGATTATTCAATGCTTTCTCAAAGTTTCATTGCTTCCAACTCAAGTCTCATCTCGCAGCTGGATATCACACTTTGTCGTCGTTTACGTATTATTTCATACAGTTAGCTCGTTCAACACGCTAATTACTTATGAAAGAACTTTCCGTTTTCATTTTTTTTTGTTGAGAAAATTGGATTGAAGTTACGCCATTGGGTGGCGTAAGCATCATCAAATGTTCCGCTTCTAACTTGCCTATTCATAAGATAATTGTTCGTCGACACTTTTCTTGAATAGATAGGATCATATTCTTTTTATATCATATACCTAATCTGATCTCTAGTTGTCACTTATGTGGCCAATAGCATGCCATAATTGACCAAATGAAGGTTCGTTCACATGCAACAGATCATTTCGAAAGGTAATGAAGGGTTAATCCGCTCCATTTTCACCTTCTTCCTGAACACATTAGGAGAAATGGAGAAACGGTTGATGTGTCATCATTTCGAGTTTTTCATCTCTTTCTTCCTTTTTTTTTCAAAGACATCGGAAAGATTTTGATGGTTTGGAAAAGAAGTAAGAAACATATAGAATCATAAAAACCTTAACGAATCTACAAATATTAGATTCGAATTATGGGACAGAGAGAGAGAGAGAGGGAGAGAGGGAGAAGGAGAGAGAGAGAGAGAAACAGAAAGAAAGAGGATGATGAACAGGATCAATTCCATTTGTTTATTTTTATGAAATGACGAACATTGCTTGGATCACAAAAATATGGTGGAATCTGAAGGTTCTCACGAGTGCCAGGTGTCATCTAATTGTTAAAACTGTGTTTTCAGATTGGAGATGAGCAGACAGAAGAAAATGACATATTGTGACAATCTTATTAGAATAATGTTCAGTTTACACAAAAATCCTGATGAAATAGCTGTTAATGTGAGTGATGATGGGCAACTCCTCCTATAGGTGTAGCGAGATGACAATCAAGGCAGATGAAAACAAAAAAAAACTTTTAGCAAGCAGCGTTAGCGAGTTCATGCTCTAATCGTTATGTTTGTTTAACCATTTGTGTCCAGACACTTTGTATCTATTATTTCTTTTTTTTTCTTAGATTTAAGCCGATCTATCTCTGTCAATATGACTTTGCTCGAAAGTTTTTTCTGTGCCATCCAATATGTGTTTCCCATGCTTCTTTACATAGAAGTCCATAAAAGGATTAGTTGACAACAACCGGAAATCACTTTGAACTTAACCTTTCTCTTATGTAGATAGATTGTTTGAAACAAACATTATTTCATAATAAACTGAAGTAACTATTGAAAAGTATAGTTAACAGAGAGCATCATCACTCATCCAACAACAACAAATGAAAACAACATTACAGTAGACGGATATATTTTAGTTGACTCCTCTTCAATGAATTTGGCATTTTTGGGAATCATCAACATGATGATTCAATGGGAACATCAACTTACATATATCGTCTTGGAATATTCATGTTTCAAAAAATTTTTCATTTTTTTCGTCTTTCAGTTTTGCCTCGGCGTCGATCTTCTTCATCTTCATCGCTGCCCGAGAAAGGTTTCAGCAACTCATCTGTACTTCTTCATATCATTTTTGAAAGGAAAAAAATATCAACAAAACGTCTCTTTTCATTAACTTTTTTTTTTCTTTTCTCACCCATATCTCATTCAACCGCTCTACCCATCTGCATAAATGAAAATGAGTATTGTTCACGTAAACCTCCCTCACATTCATCTCCCCCTTTCTCTCCTCTCTCTCTTCGTCCACGTAGGTTTGTATTCTAATTTGCATTCATTGAATGTGTTCGAGATTAAGATGATGAGAACGAAAAGAAATGTTCACAGAAGTATTCACGTCGGTAGATCAATTAATCATCCAATTAATAGCCTCCACTCAAGTTTTGAACAAAATAGTTGACTCACCCTAATTTATGATGCTCTCTCATTCGTCAAAAGTGTAAATCAGGCATATTCTATTGTTAGCAGCTTATATACTTCTATCTGCCATCCTTATTAACAGAAGACTTCTAATCGTTTTGATGGATGTTGCACAACCTCTCCAACAACAATCCAATTCATTGTTCATATTAGGTCATGCGCACCGGATATTAACTTAGAAAAACAAACAACCACAACAATATCTTTTTATATTTAATAATTCAGGCAAAATGGCAAATCATCATCATCATTATCAACATTTTCTTTTTTATTTTCTTCTTACTCCTCCCATTCTCCTCCAAGACAACCTTTCCCACAATATCTTGACAGCCGTTCAAGGCCTATGACGTCACATCATACTACTAAGTTTGGTCAGACAAACTACTTGCTCACTTCCGTTATCTCATAATACAAAGATGAAACCACAACATACACATACTCTATCAAGTTTTCGAAACAATTTGTCATTATTTCAATCATTTTTAAAAATCGATTTATAGTTTGTTTTGTTTTTTACGCGAAGATTTTGTGATTTGTGTTCATTCGCCACATAGCTTCTTCATCTTTTCGAAATCTGATCAAAGCTAATATTGATTTTTAATGATCTGTAGCCTGTGATTATGACCTGTACTTCCTTTCCCTCCTCCTCCTTCTACTTATACCAGATGATCTCATTTGTCATGATTTTTTATGTTCTCAGAGTTTGCAACTTGAATAGTTCAAACTTTCATTTCATCTTACTACTCATCTACTCTTTACTTTGCTCAGAAACCTTATATAGTTTGCAATGTGTCTAAGATAGCATTAAATTTCACTAACTTATCTCTAATTTATAATTAAATGTATTGAGGCTAGTATCATAGAGCTAACATTGAATTACCGTACCTGAAAATGAAATGCATAGAAACGTAGATGATGCTTCAGATTATTTGATTCACTTTTTTGTCGTGAAGATGAGTAGCGTATCAAGTTGCCCATAAGGATTTTTATAGAAAAATATCTTCCATAATCAAAGGGAAAAAAAGGACAGGGAAAGGGTGGGGGGTATAAAGGGGCGGAGTTAAGAGAGAGGAGGGGGGAAGTAGGGGGACTGGAAGAGTATTTGAAGACTACGCGTCATGTTCCCGCCCATAACCATTCGATGTCATTTGCTATCATAGTTATCTCGTCGTTTGCCATAAGTGGCATTTGTAATATTTTTTATAGAAATGAATAATTTTAAGTAATTATATATATATTATTTCAGGATTAATAAACTTAATATTGCCCATGTGCTAGACTGTCAAACAGCTTCGATTTTTTTGTTCGCAAAATGTGGAAAATAATTTTCTTTTTAGTATCATTACAACTATCTATAATAGAAACCAAGTTTCTAGCAGGTAACATTAATTCTCATACCATAGATGGTATTAAAAGCATTTGTTAATCATTTCAGGGCAGTGCCAAGCTAAATCGTGTAAGAATGGCGGAATTTGTCACAAAGGTCCAGAGAGTAATACTCATTGGTGTAGGTGAGTGTGAAGCTTCTCTCATCATTCCGCTATATTGAAAATGTCTTTCTTATTTCTTTTTTTTTCCTTATTTGGCTTTTCTTATGTTATTTCCGCTAAAGTTCTTTTTCGTCTTTGTCTTTTGTGCACACTGCTCTTTCAGTCATCTTTCCTTTAGCGCTATTCCTTTTTTGTCATTAAAATAGTAATGATAAGATAAAACTAAGAATAACAATAGCTGTTAGCAGGTCATCTGTGTTAGTTTTGTTCCTTTTGACTTATGTAACTTGAAGTATTTCTCTTCTTCTTCTTCTTTATTTTCAATCATTTGTCTCTATCTATACTGTTTGGGATGATGTTTGGATTGGATTGATTCCATTCGTCTCATTGTCTGATCATTTTCATTCTTTTCAACTTCCAAATTTGAGGACATTCAGATCTTTTTGACTGTTTGTGACGTTGATTGCGTAATGAGGATAAGAAGTATCGATTACAATCTATTGAAATCTCTTGTCATGTTTCACTTGTTGCGTAACTTATCTCACAATTTTGATGATGATTTTCAAATTACTTACACATATTCTATACCATATATATCAATTCTTTCCATATTTGGCACATAGCGGCTTCTTTTTAGTTATTTTCACATTTTGATGTATCTTCATCTAAACAATACGCTTTTTGAACTTATCCTTAACCAACCTCTGCGCTATGCCATCTGCCATTTTCAAAATTCTAATTTATGAAACCGGCTGTATTCACTTTCATGTTGCATTTTCCGACTTTATCATTTCCACTCAGCATTAACATTTCAATTTACAGTTGCCCTCAAGGAGTTTTTGGATCAAGATGTGAACGGTTAGCTTGTCCGGATGTCTGTGAAAATGGTGGACAATGTTCTCGAGATGGATTAGACTTCATATGCAAGTGTCCTTTCGGTCAGTCGTCTATTAACTTCTTTCTTTCTTTTTAATCGCCCAAATGTTAACGAGAGGGTCAGATTGTATGGGGGGGTTTTTGAAAAACCTTTAAGCCCCAACTTCATCCCCATTCATCACTTTTGTTGCCGTCCCACTGCTTATACTCCAGCACTCATAGGGCACATAATTCACGATTGAGTCTGAATTGATGAGGAGAAGCAGAAAAAAGTGCTCCAACTATCTTGCTAATAGCAATTCCTTTACTTTATTAATTGCTTTTTACACTTATCCAAGTTCACCACGTATAAGATCAAAAGAAGTTTTGCTCGATTAGTCTTCATTAGGCTAAGCGAAACAGTCACACCTGTTGGCTACCTGGGGCTACTACCTATCTTTATCTAAATTGATCATCTGAAATAACATTTGGGCGGCCGGCAATTCCTTTGTCAAAACAGATTGCGGTTATGTTAGTTCTCAAAAAAGTTTTTGTTTCTTAATTTTTACCAATTAGCCTCTAGTAACAACAGCCTAACTGTCATCAAGCTCAATGTCATGTAAAGTTGAGGTCATTACGTTTTTGATGGAACCGCTTTTCCCAGAGTTAGGTGAAGTTGAGTCAAAGAAGTTCTGTCAACTTACTGTCTGGACTTAATGATCCACACAAAAAAAAGGCACAAACACATTAAATTCTGACATTTTGACGAGACAGAAGTGCGGTAAAAAAAAAGGTCATTGACTTTACACAGAAATTAGATGATGACAATCCTCATTTTTGATTTGTAGAGAAGATTTTTTGAGATAACTATTTTTTGTGATTGCAGGCTTCGAAGGACGATTCTGTGAGAGACTGTCAACAAACAATATCTGCAAAACAGAGTCTCTGTGTGGACCATATGGAACATGTCAATTGACAAACTCCCTAAACGAATACAAGTGCTTGTGTCAGAAAGGATGGATAGGTTGGTACAAGTTTTGGCTCATTTTCCGTATTTGACTATCCCATGCTCTCATGAAAGCGAGGACCGGTGTGAAAACCAAACATTTGATATGCGAGAGTGATGATGATCATGTTGTTGTTGAAAATTATCAAAGCCATACATGGCATATTGAGTAATATGACAAAGGTGAAGTCTCATATCCGCTCTGCGCCATCGACATTGGATGATTCGTCCCTCCTATTGTCTGTCACAAAAAAAGAAGTTCTTGCTAAACTAAGGAAGAAAAGAATGTTCTGAGTTGTCTCGTTTTTTTGGTCATGGGAATGCTACAGACCTTATAAGACAAGTGAGAGAAGATAAGAGAGCGTTTAAAGAATTAGAGAAAAATTGAAGAAAAATCCAATACCACCCCTAATATAGGATAGTTTCGAGTTTAACGACGTTTAAGATTTACTATCATTGCCCAATTCACGACGGGTTTTTTTTCTTACTGGTGGGCTTGTCACATCTTGCTATGTTTAACGTCATTGAACTTCTGAATTTTATTTTTGTCGTATTCTGAAAGGTTATGTGATTAGCTTTTCTCGCTGACAAAAGAAAGTGTGGAGAGTGAATGGATGAATGCCAATATGACAAGGGGTTTGAGTATGAGTAAGAGAGAGACGAGACGCATTTCTCAGATTATTCAGTTTACCTCTATCAAACAGTTTATAGAAAGCATACACAATTAATATGAATTGTGAAGAGCTTTTTGAATTTTTGGAATTATTTGTTGGGTCGCTGTAGAAGACATATGTCTAGGAGGGTTGCGGCAAACATCAAAAGCTTCCGAAAAGACTAAAGTATGCCAAATGTGACTGTTGTATTGAGTGATGAACCTTAGTTTGAATTTTTTTGGTTCTGTTTTTCAACCAGTTAACACATAGCTAGCTGCGACAAGGCTTTGATAGTTTGCTTCAAGTTATTCATCTCTAGAAATCATCTATCCGGATAATCCTTCATTATCTTCGTCACATTTCACGTTATTTGGTACCGTAGTTTGGGTGTGAAGAGTCTGTTACCGTAGGATAATTGCTTCTCAACATAACATTCCCACGTTTTTTAAAATGACCTTGTAAACTTTAATGTCGGCATCTAAGAGGCATCTGCAATCATTAAAAATTCAAAAATTTCTTTTTCAGGACAATATTGCTCCGAGCGAGATCCATGCCCTATCGATTACTGTAAGAATGGAGGAAGTTGCAATTTCAATGGAAAAGAGATATCGTGCACTTGTCCAGCAAACTTTGATGGTCCTCTCTGTCAGCATGAGCTAGATGCATGTTTATCACAGCCTTGTCTTAATGGTCGTTGCATTAGTAAGGTAATTGATTGAATCTCATATGTATATGGATATAATCATGTCTTGTTTCAGCCTGGCTCATTCCGTTGCGAATGTGACAAAGGATTTGTCGGATCAAGATGTGAGAATAGAAGTACTGCTTACCAATGTTCAATGGGTACAAGAAATCTGGAAAACAGTTGTAAGAATGGAGGAGTTTGTGCATATCAAGATGGTCAATATTCATGTGTGTGCCCGAATATGTTTGAAGGTATGATGATCACCTTACGATTTAAAAGATTTTTCTATTTGCACAACATTGACCTTACATGGGTACTGTATTCTTAAAATAGAAATAATCTGCATAATCCGTAAAGTAGCTAATATTTATTTTTTCTTGCTTTCACTTAAGTATATCCGGAAACGGATGTCCATTATATAACTCATTGAACGTGTTACAGGAGCTTTCTGTGAAAAAGATGTCAACGAGTGTGCCGCTGCTAATCAGCCATGTAGAAATGGAGGGACTTGTATAAATAATAATGGAGGATTCGCCTGTGTATGTCCCAATGGCTTTGAAGGAGAACTATGTGAAGTGGATCGTGATGACTGTGCCGGAAATCCATGTAGCTATGGATCTACATGTGTTGATGGCTTGGCCATGTTCACCTGCGAATGTCCTGTCGGAAAGACTGGTAATTTCCTTTTTTGCGATGAGATTGAAGAAGATTTATGGATTTTAGGAGTTCTTTGCGAACTGGAAGATCAATGTGTTACAAGACAACCTTGTAGAAATGGGAAATGTATCACTGACTCTTCATCAGGGGAATACGCCTGTGATTGTGACAAAGGGTTCCAGGTTTTGAAATGATGAACACTTCCATAACTTAAACTTCTGTTTAAAGGGATTGCATTGCGACGATGACATCAATGAATGTGCTCTAGGAGAAGAGTTATGTTATAACAATGGAACTTGTGTTAATACTCCAGGTGGATATCAATGCTTCTGCAACAAACGTAAGCTCTCAATTGACAATCTCAATAACGTCTTCATTAAAGCTTTCACTGGAAGTCATTGCGACCAACTTATGTCCTCTTGTGAGCCAGATCCTTGTTTGAATCATGGAATCTGCATTGATCACATTGAACATTTTGAATGCATTTGCAAAGAAGGATTTTCTGGACCAAGATGTGAAGTTCATGGGACTACCTGCCCAGAAAAAGCTTGTCTTAATGGAGGTGTTTGTGACGAGACTGTTTGTGTTTGCCCTAAAGGTTACTCTGGAATGTTTTGTGAACAAGAAGGGATTGTGTGTGGCATGCAAACTTGTCCCTCTGGCACTGTATGTATTGACAATGGTCCTAACAAGTATGTTTCATTTTACTTCTGAACATCAATGAACAACTTTCAGTTTACCCGTATGTGGATGCCCTAAAGGTTTTTATGGTTTGGATTGTCAGCTGAGAGAAATAACTAATGATTTGAACGGATGCTTAACAAATCCATGTCTTCATGGAAGTTGTCAGGACACCTCAGATGGATACAAATGTATCTGTCCCAAAGGTTATGGAGGAAAGCAATGTGATGTATGTTCCCTACTCAATTTTCATTCAAAACTTTATTTTATTAAAGGAGCCCATCAATCACTGTAACACAACAACATGTTCAAACAACGGTACTTGTGTCCATGATATTAATGGGTTCGTGTGCCGATGCCCTGAACCTTTCTCTGGCCAGCGCTGTGAACTGAGAGTAAGAAATGGTTTCAATAAGGGCCAATGAGATTGGTGATTTCAGTTTGATGCATGTGCTAACAAGAGCTGTGGTTCCAACGCTGTCTGTGAAATCGATGAACGTTTTGCTACTGCAAGATGTGTTTGCAAGAAAGGCTTTACTGGAGAGTTTTGTGATCAGGATGTCGACGAGTGTGCCAAAAGTCCTTGTGAAAATGGTAGCGTCTGTAAGAATACATATGGTGGTTATCAATGCAAATGTCCAAACCAATACTCTGGTGTCAATTGCGAAGTCAAGCAAGATTTCTGTTCTAAGAGTAAGAGATCTAGCTGTGCTGTCTATTAATTATGTGTTGCTCAGATCCTTGTGCGAACAACGGAACTTGCGTTGAAGAATCAAATGGTTTCAAATGTTTGTGCCCATCTGGATTTAGTGGATATACATGTCAAGCTGACATAGGTATTTCATATTTTGTAACATTCTCAGATATTATTCAAATCTCAGATGATTGCATTAATAACCCTTGTCTCAATGGAGCAACGTGCGTAGACGCTGTTGACAGTTACAAATGTGAATGTGGTCCAGGCTTCAGTGGAAGAGACTGCCAAATTAATGTGGATGAGTGTAAACCTTATGGGTATGTTTCTAATTTTTTTATTATCGTACCATATATGGAGATTGATTGCTTGCTACCATATTATCTGCTTTACGTAACAGTATGAGTTTTTGGTGTTCCCAGGTTGTAAAGTAGTCAACCAACAGACACCGACTCATAAACGGCACTCATTATTTGTTAGTTCTGACTAAAAAAGGAGATGTTCTACTAAAAGGTGTAGCTGACTGTGATAAGGGTAGAATAGGTCATGGGAGACATACTGTTATAAAACATGTAATCTTCAAACTGATCCGTTTCTCTGATAACATTTAATGGAGAGAGTGAAAGAAAGATACGTTAGCTATATATGAGGTAAAAACTGGTTGGGAATCAACATGATGAAGTTCCTTTTTCGTCAAAATCAACTGTGATCTGAGAAGTTTGTGAGAAAGCAAGTGTGGCGAAGTGTCTACAACCCCCAGCAGGGTGTCAGATGAACATAGATGTTTCCCAGCCTTGTCACTCGCATTCAGACACATACACCTGCTAGTGCGCCAATCAGACGTGGGAGAGAGAGGGATGGGCAATCATAATTATGAATAATTCTTCAATTTTGTTATTTTTTCATCATAAATTGACATCTGCAGCCACTAAATTTATTTACTGTAAAAGATTTAGTATTTGAAACATGAGGGACGCTGGATATGAGAGGGACAAGGGTGTTAGGGGATTAGCAGTGAAGTGAGAAAGTGTTCAAGAAAGATAAAGAGACTACAATTATCCCTTTCTAAGTGTGGGGTATTAGAGGCCATTGTGTTGAATACCATATCAGGAGGGAACAATATTTGACTAAAGTCTTAATGTGGATAATAGTGTCTTATGAGACGTTTTTCCAGACTTTGTTTGAATGGAGGTACTTGTGTGGATGGCATCAATTCCTATAAATGTGCTTGCAAACGAGGATTTACTGGCCAGAACTGTCAGACATTTGTTGATGTCGATCAGTTCAATATCACAGACAGGTACGGAAACTGCATAGACCTTGATACTAAGCTTACCGTTTATAGAATGGAGAAGGACTTCTGCAAATCACGCAACTGTGCATCCAAAGCTCATAATGGAGTTTGTGATGAAGAATGCAATTTCTTCGGCTGTGATTACGATGGAAACGATTGCTCAGCTATGTCAAAGCCTTATTCGAAGTGTACTCATGCCAGCTATTGTTCTCGAGTTTTCCGCGATCACAAATGTGATGAGGTAAAATTGGTTTCCATTAAAAACGAAGAGTTTACATCTGCAATTCAGATTTGTAACAATGAGGCTTGTCTATTCGATGGTTTCGATTGTGACAGACCATCACCCAATTGTCCTTATAAAGACTATTGTGAACAGCATTACGCAGACAACAGGTGTGACCAGAAGTGTAACTCATTAGGTTGTGGTTTCGATGGAGGAGATTGCGAGAAATCAGATGAGAATATCGTAAGACAATTTTCAATAAACACAGCTCATGCTTCTCTTTTTAGCTTTTCGGAGACGTTCTAATGGTGATCTTGAGTCCTCCTGAGGTGTTTGTCACCCAAGTCAATAAGTTTTTGATGACATTGAGTAGCAAGCTTCGTGCTTCTATCCGTATCAAGTCTGATGATGAGGGACCAATGATCTTTAAATGGACCGATGGAAATACTGGAGACAGAGTACCTGTGTCAGCTGATCAGGTTAGATTAGGAATAGCGTTTCAAAGACTTATCTTGTGATTTCAGTCTCTCTCTATCTCTTATGGAGGAGTCCTGAGACAAAAACGAAATGCCAATCGTGGAGTTATCGTTTGGATTAACATAGACGTTGCTTCTTGCTCCGGGGATTGTTTCAGCGATGTTGATATTGTTGCCAATTATTTAGGACAAGCTCAAGCTAAGAAGGTAATTGGCATAGTTTGAATAGTTGTAGACGTATCATCTCTTAATAGGAACTAGCTGAAATCGGAATGCCCATATATGAAGCTATTGCCAGACGGCCGGATTCTCCGGAAGTACATCAGCCGTCTTCCTTCTACGCTGCTCTTCTGTGTGGTATCGGAGTTATGATAATATTGGGATCAATTTATGTCCTTCAACAACAACGAAGAACTAGAAAGAGAAGAATAGTTAACGCACCAACATGGTATCCTCCAACAGAGGCTCAAAGTAATTTTGAATCAGATCAGGGCATTTCATTAATTCGATCTTTTACAGATAAACAGCTATCCATTCATCAAGCAGAACATACAGCACGAATGAACTTGTTTGGATCAAACATTGATCTTTGTAACTGTAAACGTCCCAAGATTGATTTGGAATACTATAATCCTGAATGTTATGATCATAGCTGTGGATCTATCGCTAGCACATCAAAACCGTGAGTTTTGCCTCGAACTTTCTCAATTATTTTTCATATTCAGTGTCGTGTTCAAACCACCTGCCAGTCCTTCATTCAGCAATCCTTCTAGCCTTCACCTACAGGCTTCTTCGATTGAACCCATTGCTACCCCTATTGATGCAGCTCAAGTTAATTGTCGAGCTGGAGCTTCTTGTAGAACTCCTCTGATGTGGCTAGCTGAGAATACATTGAAATCCATGGATATTGTTCTGGATGATGTGCAGAAATTGTTCAATGCTGGTGCTGATTTGAATATGCAGGATGACTGTAAGTTTCTTATTTAATTTACAAGTTTTAATTGACATTTTTTGCAGGTGAGGAAACTGCTTTGTTTGTCGCCTGTAGATTTGGGAGATACGAACTTGTGAGAAAGTTACTCGATCTCGGAGCAGATCCAACTATTATGAATAATAAGAACAGTACTTGTCTTCATCAAGCTTCTCATAACGGTGACATCAGACTAACAAAAGAACTATTGAGATTGAAATCTGTTGTGAACGAGGTTTGAAAGTTGTTTTTCTTTCAATTTCGTAATGTGTTCGTTTTTCAGATTAATGAAGTTGATGAATTCGACAGAACAGCCTTGATGGTATGTGCGATGAATTGTATCCTCAGTACGGAAGTTGCTGAAGCTCTTATTGAGGCTGGTGCCGATCCATCTTTCCCAGGTGACAAGGTATGTGTCATTTTAAAATTTTCAAGGACATGATCCAATTTCTTTTTTATCAGAGTGCCAGAACTTACAAGGGACGAACTGCTTTACATTATGCCGCTCAATACAGTAACATCAAAATGCTCAAGTATTTGTTGGCAGAAGGAGCTAATAAAGATGCTCAAGATCTCGAGGTATACATTATTTCCAATAAACATTCTCTCATGACATCATTTCAGGAATGTACTCCTTTGTTCTTGGCTGCCAAAGAAGGTCGTCTAGAGTCCGTGATTATGCTCGTTGAGGCTGGTGCAAGTGTTGAAATCACTGATCAGAAAGAAAGAACACCACGAGAAATTGCTGAAGATCAACACTTCTCTGAAATCGTTGAAGTTCTCAATTCTAAAACAACAGTACTTCCTCTGTCGGTCTGCAATGGAAAATCGCTTGTCAAGCACGGCAAAACATCAGGCAAAGGAGTCAAGGTAGATATTTCAGTCAAGAAGATTTTCATTATCTCTGGTTTTCAGCGTGTTGCCGTTAAAAGAAAACCACAACCTCTTACTCCACCACATTCGGACGGCGTTTCTACTCCATCTCCAGATAACTACTCCCTCGGTCGACCCTTACTCTGTAATCAATCAACTCTCCTTGACTCTCCTGTTAGTGATCCTATGTCTTCTCATCGAGACATCAAGTATTCTCCAACGAACTGCACAATGGTAAGAATTGATACTTCGCAACAATTAACTCATCATGAGCTTTAGATGACTCCTACCTACTGGAATAATTCAAACATCTATATCAAGTCTTCTCCCCCCTATGAAGAACATCATAGCGAGTATGGATTGGGCGCAACATCATTCTATAGTTCTCAGGGAAATCCATTTGGAAACTCTTTCATTTTTGATACTTCCTCAACGGAAAATCATCCATCGGGTACACCTCCTCTATTCTTTCCAGCGTGTCAATACTCATCGCAATTCCATCAGGTTTAGGAAATAATAATAGAAAAATTAATTTATTACGTTTGATCTTCCATTTGTGTGATATTTTTCGAGTGAATTTTTTTAACTTTTTTTCTTACTTTGGTCAGACCAAAGATAGCTCTTGTACATACAACAACGGTCATGTTTGATATCGTCTTCGTTTTAGCACCCAACTTGATAGTCAGAAGGAGAGTGTTCGTTTGTTGCTCACATCTCCTTCTAATAATGTTTTTACCTTGATCTATACTTCATATTGTTCCTAATGTTTGTTATATTATGCGGGTTTTTCTATATTCTATACTATTTTATATAGTTTAATAACTAATTATAATTGTTTACCTCTTGGCATATTTCATATGTTTGTATTTACGCTGAAATAAAGAATCTCATCAATTGAAAGAAAAAGTTTTTTATTTTTGTACACTTTGCTTCTTCACCAGCTCACATAACGAGCATGTGAAGATGAATGAAATGAAAAGATTCCTATTGAACAAGTAAGTTACTGTGAAAAATTGATTATCCAATTGTACAAACGTCTTCTATAAAATAATATTTGTTTTGAATATCTTAAATGTACACATATAGAAAGCTTTCTCGCAAAAGCTGTTAATATGGCAAGTTGATGCCATGACTAGACCCCGTCTTGAAAGCAATACATTTTGGTTTTTCAATTATATAAGTTAAGTAGCTAATTGCTGCCTTTCAGCAGCTTTCTGGGATGGAGGATAAACACCATGATCGTCTGGCTCAATGTCTGAATCGACATCTTCCTTCTTCCCAACATATCGACAACTTTTCTCCGATGACGTTGATAGGAATGTTCTATAACAATTGGCATTTGTTAAGCAATCCGGTAAACTTCCAAGAAAGCTCGGTAATATCTGTAAATCATAGAATGTATAATTGATGTGTACGAAAATATGCTGACCACAAGACCATGAAGAGCTCCCCAAGAGACAACCAAAAATATGGCGGCAACGAAAACAGAAGGAGAATAGCTCTGAAATGACAAATACTGAACTTCTCAAGAAGATAGAAAGATTACCGCCAAAAACAGAAGAGGTAAGATACAACATATAGTAGATACACCAGCTTGAATCATAGGCCACCCAACCGACTCTAATGTATGTTCCAGTTTCTCTTGTGGCCCAGAGACTGCTATTTTCACTACTTTACCATTTCTTATAACTTTCTTATTTGTAAGCTGAAAGGATACAGTGTCAAACTGCTTTACATCTGCTAAGTATACCTGATAATGATATGATACGTGAGCTATGAAATCTACACTCATTCCGATTGTCATAAGAACTGCTGCCATAACTACAGGATCCAAATCGAAGTTCCACCACGACAAAAATCCAACAACTCCTACAATACGGAGTACATTTCATCCAAAACTGTATCCGCCTACCAATGCTAATTGAAGCTATAGCTATAGAAGCTGTTATGACACTGCATGGATTTGGAATGAAAATTGCACAGACAACCGCCATACAAACCAAAGTCAAGACACCAGTCTACATATAGAGTTAACAACTGGTTCTATGATCAAATTCGTACCTGCATCGCAACGGTTTTCAAACTGAGCATTTGGTCTACGAACATGCCATTTGGCTCCCAAACGGTAGTATTGAGATCGGTATACCTAGAAAAACAAAAATAAAAATATATTTTGAATTCAGCTTTCAGTACTTGTTGGCGACTTCTCTCCAATCTTCCATCAACCCAATTCTAGTCTCCCAGGTGGAAGTATTATGATAAGCTACGGTGAACCAGAATCTCTCAACGACAGGTGTAGAACTGAATAGTTATGATAGTAAGCAATAACTGAAAACAAATGAAATACCTTGTGTTTTTGATTTTCATGAAAGTTTTCCAATGCTCATAGAAAGGAGACTCTAAGAAACTGTATAGCTGGGCAGTTGTTAAATTAGCCTAAAGAAATAACTCTTTCAATATATCAAAGTTATTCATTCATACCTTGTAAGGGTCAATCGGAACATCTTTCTTCTCCTTCTTTATACCAAAAAGAGAAGCTAAGATATCAATTGGTTCACCATAATACGTAAATTGGATGAAGTCACGAAGCCAAATCATAGAGGAGGAAGGTCCTAATCATTACATTTTTGCTATTATACAAAGAAAGATATTATTATATTACCTTTAGCATTATGCATGCTTTCGAACTCTGATACCATATCCCAAAAACGACTGGTTTGTGTATGATTAGATATATCTAATGGACTATTAACCAATATGGTGACTGGATGATATTCAGCCCAAACTGAAAAAAATAGAATAATTAAATAAGAAAATTATAAATTATTACTAATGTTTGTGAGAATATAATTAGGACGTTGAATTGGAGAATCTCTTGGCAGAATCTTTACAGCATCAAGACGTGTTTTGATATTCATAATTCCAATTATGCCGAAATACCTTCAAAGAAAATTTTATTATTTAGGATTTCTAGACACTGAGCTTACCAGTAAACAACTGTTGCTCCAATAATGAAAATCATAAAAGCTCGATGACCAATAAGTTTACAATAGAAGCGTAAGACTCTCTGAGATACTTGATCAACCTGCAAACAGAGAGAATAGAAAGTGTGCACTTGAGCGATCATTACAGTCTTTCTCCATCCAGTAGCTTCTTTGGTATATTCTGCTGATGGATGTTCAAACCGTGTCGCGATAGCTAGAACAGGGCCGAACAAAACTATTTGTAAAACATATGTTAAAGCCATAGCAATAGCTGTTGCCATACAGAAAAGTCTTATTTCTGAAACGAAATCATCAGACTTGAGATACCGAAACAATTCTCTTTACCTGGTGTTGGTGTAAGTGCACCTATTCCAAAAGACAAGAAATTTGTTAAAGAAGTAATTGTTATACTCGGCCCCACTTCTTCGTAAACCATTCCTAATTGTCATTATATTTATATATTCAATGTTCAAAGGGATTTACCTAATCGCTCTACTACGGAATAACCATAGCGACTCATGCGTTGCCACGAATGAAGCATAAGGAAACTATCATCAACACCTATAATTTAAATAATGAGATTTTTGTATTAACCATCAAAAATCTCACCAATGCCCATTATTAAGAAAGGCATAACAAGCATAAATGAGTTTACTCGACATCCCATGAATGAAATTATTCCGTAAGTTGATGTTATAGCTAAGATTGGACAGAGTGTTGCTCCGATACCAACCAGACTAAGAGATAATGACTATTAATATGCTTATATATATATAAAATCTCACATTTTGCCTCGATCAACAGAACCATAATAAACAGCGCTTGCATAAACACAACTGCTCACAAATGATATCATAAAACCGAATCCTAAAAACATAATATATAAGCATTTGCAATCTTAATGATACCGGCAGCAAAAAATGGAGTCATGCGTCGTCCATCACGAATCATCTCGGCATCAAGGATTTCAGTTCCAACCACCTATTTAATTATGGTCATGTTATCATTAATAATTAATTATGATACCATGAGATCAATATAGGTACTATTATATTCATTTAAGCTCCAATCATATGCAGCTAATTCCCAAGCTGCAAATTGAGCCTCCCGCTTGGCATCACCTTTGTCACCGCGGAATATGAATAGTAAAACCTAAATATATAAATAAAATAACATTTGATCATTTCCGATTCTTAAGAAAGAAAGACGGAGCTCAAATAGAATAATACCTTTACATAGTCCATATTCGTTATTTGTTGTTCAATAGAATTTTTGGTTGAATTGGGTGCAGTCATTTTGACTCCAAACAAAGATCGCTCTAATTGAATCTGAAGAGAAGAAAAAGAAGATTTTAATTCACTTTTCATATTATGTAGATGTTCAACGTTTGTTGATCATCGAATTCTGTCTTACCTCAAAGCCATTAACGTTTGTGACCGGAAAAGATAAATTTGTATTTTCTGAGAAACTTTGATTATAGAGAGCTCTATGATATTCTTCATCAAATCCTTCCTGAAAAGATAGTAACCATGAGAAAAGCCATACTAATCAGTATTACCTTAAAGATTTCGAAAACCTTATTCATATTACAATATGGATGGCACATTTCCAGAAATCTGAAGAACATTTCAATTATATGATATTGCATCTCACTGAATTTCCCCCGCGAACCAGAAAGCACTCACTTAAGTTTCTCATCTTTATGTTCCACTGTGAAGTTATGATGCATAAATTGCGTTAAGCGCTGAGCTTCATCCAAATATTCTTTTCGATGCATTGATCCGCCATCTTTAGCCAATAATAAAAACAGCGTCATCATGGGATCTCCTGTTGAATTCCAAAATTCTCTAATGACATCCGTTTCGTATCGACTTGGAGCATTTATTGGCGTATAGCCATCCCGTATTCTATCCTTTAAGACCATTTTATACATTCCAACTAAGAAAATAAGATGTCAGTATGAGGAAAATATGAATTATAGTATTACTTGAGTTCATGCTTAATAATATGGCAACAGTGATATATGCAAATGGATTTCCTCCAACGGTACGACCAATCAATTGGAAGAACCCACGTAAAGAAAAATATGCCCATAACGGCATTAACTTTCTTTGTTGTTCTGATTCTGAAAACATTCAAGATTATTTATATAAAATGTATACCTCTGGAGATGTAAATGCAACCGCCAATACATCATGCAAAGTGTTTAATGATGAGAAAGTTTAATTGAGGGGTCTAATGAGCGCCACGTGAACTTTCAAACTAATTTGCATAAATCGCTTGCGTATGCTAATGAGCCTTCACTGACAACGAACAGTTTTAAAAAAACAGTTTAAACATTATCAGCCGTATTGTATGCTTATCATATGATATAATAAGGTATATGAAGACTTACTTCGTCTACTCGTATCTCCTGACTTGGATGACATATCTCCAAGATCCAATCTCGGCACTAAAACCTGCAAGTAGTGTAAGCTTGAGCAAGAATGAATGAAAGGTAGAAAAACCTTGTGATTTGTGCAGTCGTCATGAAGCTTGGCTTCTACATCAGTAGGGGAAATCGGCTGTTTCTCCTCTTCACTCATTTTTACATGGCACTGAAAGAAAGAAATGTTTAGAATGAGCAAAGAAATATAAAAAAAAGAGTTCTAAGAGAGACGTGATCATAAACAAAGTTCGTTTCATTCAAACTCATTGAAAATAGTTGTGAGATTGCTTGAGGCATTCTTTAAATATTCAATGGAACTCTCTCTTTCTTCTTAGAATTTGTGAAACAAGTAGCAATACTATAGTTAAGTTATACTGAAGAAAAAAAAAGGCTTCTAAAAGTTTTATGAATGAAAAGCTGAATTGTGAGGTTCGAAAAGAGTTTAAAGTTGAAAAACGTTTGCAAAAGAAGTATATTAGCAGATTTTGATGAGGAGAAACAGAGAGAGAGTAGAAGGGAGTCGAGTGGAGGGGGTGGAGAAAGAGGAGACTCTTTGGGATGAAAGCTAAAAGAGGAAAAGTGAGTAGTAACTAGAGAGATTGAGAAGGAAACGAAAGAAGTGTAGGAGAGAGAAACAAAAAAGGATGAAGAAAACTAAAATCAGAAAATGATGTAGAGGATGGCTTGTTCAAAGCAAAGTTTCGAATGAAGTTTGTAGCAGACGACGCAGCTGCTGATTTCTCACGCCGTTCATCCCCCAGCAGTTAAATTGGATTACGTGTGTGAAAAGTGAATGACAAGACAAGTGCCTTATATAGTCAAAATGTATAATATATTAATTATAAAATACAATATAGACGTCAATATGTGGTTAATTGTCTATTTGAAAAATGGATGAAAACGAACAAATTTGTAATTAACTCGTTGGCAATAATTAGAGGAGAGTAAGAGAGTCATATAGAGAGACATATATATATATATATAGAGAGAGAGAGAAAGAGAGTGAAGATAGCTGATAACTAATAGGTTGAAGAATAGAAATGAACGAATGCTATTAACACAAGTTCATATATAATGTATAACTATACGTCTACCGTTTAAATATTATAAATAGGCAGTTCTTTGCCCAAATAAACAAAATTCATTTGACTTTCCTTTTGCTCAATGGTCAGCGATGGAAAAGCATTCAGAGTCAATTGAAAAGTAAATACAGAATAATGTGCATTTTCTACAGATATTTTGAGGATGAAAACAATAAAAACATATTTCCTCATCGCTATCGCTGAGGAAATTTGAATAAAACAGAAAACAGTTCATTAGCTGTCTATGCTGAGCAGCTTTCCATATCTCTCTCTCTCTCTCTCACTCTCTCTTTCTCTATCTATCGCAGCCTTTCTTCACAACTCCCCGACTTTTACAATGGTCAGACATACTCTCGTCTGCTCGGCTTCGTTGCCATGTTGACCGTAAAAGCTTTGTTCTGCTTTTTATTTTTTGTGTTCTAAGCTGTCAAGATTTCTTCAACTTCAATTAGATGATGCAAATAGAATCATAGTAGGGAAGCGAAGCGATAGAGAGAGAGAGAGAGAGGAAGAGAGGGAAAGGAAGAAGTTATCTCCTCCCTTTTACAAATCACACAATATTTTCGATGAAGGCTGGAACAAAAAAAAACTGGAGAAGAAGGAAGGAATGAGGAGAAAAGAAAGTATTTAGGAATTCTTATAGCCTCGCATATATTGTCGTGAGTGACATTTTCTATCCTCTCTTCTAATGAAAAAAAAATATATTTTTGGGTATAATTGATATTTCGGAAAGAATTGACGGGGGGTTATTCTCAAAGAATCTCATTTGAAAACTATTTTCTTGGAATATTTCAAGATTGTTTTTGACGTATGAACGATTAGGACCAAAAAGAAAGCAAGAAAACGGAAAAGAAGCAGAAAAAGGAAAAGACGAAAAGTGGAAATGAGCAACAACATATCTGGAATGAGGACTTGATACGAGAATAGTATTTGTCATCTGGTCATTGTATGTCCATCTGTCAAAGTGTCCTCTTCCTTCTGTTCTTAGACTATACATTGCATTCTCTCTCTCTTGCTCTCTCTCTTTTACTCTCTGTTATGCTCTCTTTATCATTACCTCTCTATCTGAGTCTCTTATGTGCTCCACTTACTTCACTCAGTACTATTTCCCTCATTCTTCATTCAAACAAGCATACAGATCTTGCTCTGTATCTCATCATATTTAGTTAGTCTCTTCCACTTTTTCGATCATTGGCTTATACTATCTTAGAAATCATCTATATTACAACATTGAAGAGCATATAATAAGAATAATCAATAGTCATTAACTATAATCTTCAAATGAGTCAAGTTCGAATGTCAAATATCAAAAAAACATTTTCCAAATATGGAACAGAGAAAAGTAATCAAAGTGTTATGTTCCTGTGAACGAATACTTCAAGCATATATGATACTTCCTAATTTAGACAGCAAATATCCAAATTTAGAACTTTAAAAAAAAATTATGAAAAGCCGATTTGTGAGAGACCGTCGTCGTGCACGGTTACCATGGGAAATGGTTTTGAATAAATCACACACAAAACATATGTTATCAGCTGTGCATAATTTACAGATTATAATAGATAGTTAAGCATAATTAATAATATAGATATATATAGTATAGTATATAGTATATACGTAATCACATAATATAAGCATTGATGATCTCAAGAAGTAGAACTTGTTGAACGCTGAAAGCGTGTTCAACGTTTGGCTCAGCAGATATACATGTAAATGACGGTAAAAGGAGGATGCTATTCATATATATCCGCAACTCAACCATAATCTTTCTTTCATGAGCATTTCAATCATGTTTTGAAGAATATTCATCAGTCTTCCTGAATTAGCATAAAATGTCATTGAGCACTACTCGCACTCAATGAGATTTCATTTTCAGTTGTGAACGCGCGCAGAGCGGTTGGTTGCATTTTCAATTATTTTCTCGCCATAAACAGCGAGCTAATTAAAATTGGAGAAAGAGACGAACAGTAATTTGAAAAGCTTTATATACGACACCTTCAAGAGAGAGAGAGAAAGAGTCTAACACAATTGATATGTGACTTGCGGACAGTGTGGTCTTTATTACAAGCATGTTGACAGAAGTCTATTAGGGTCATATCAGTGTGCAATAGAAAGTGATTCGGCGAGCAACGTTGATTTTTTTCTTTTTTGAAGACGAATCATAAAAAGGTTTTCTTATATGCAATAGGTCATGGAAAATAAACAAAAATGTATTTGGAAGGAGCAGAAAAAAGCCTTTTTCTATATACTTAAATAATAAAAATGTCGAATGAAGGGAGAGGGAAGTGGAGAGAAGCGAGAATATGTGCAAATGAGTGAAATAAAATGCACAAAGTTCGTTGAGCGAGAAAAATTTGAAAAGTTCGAAAAGCTTGCTTGGGTTTAAAGCTTTTTTTTTTCTGCTCTGTATGTATGTATCTGTGTGTTAGTGTATGTATGTGTATGTGTGTGTGTGTGTATCGAAAATTAGAAGCTATTGTTGAAAAAAGATGTTGTGCTTTAAAATAAATTGAGACGGTATGACCCAAGCAAAGAACTTTGTGCTCTTTTGATCGGAAATGTTGGAGTTCATCCTTATGTCATCTGAGTGAATGACACGAAGTTAGTTGGAAGAAGTACATTTAAGCTTTATTTATTCAATGAATCATTTAACTTTATGTAAGAAGAAAATATATTGGACAGAATTTTATCTGTTTAACCACAATTTGTCAGAAAAGTTAGAAAAAACCCAAAAATTATGTATAATTTGGTTAACAGAACGGGGGGAAATGGACTAAAACAGCTATTTTACCTTGTTTTTGAGATACAGATACATGCACAAGAGAATAGGAATAGTTGGATTTTTCTCTCTTTTACCCTCCCTTTTCTCTCTATATCGCTTTTTCCTCTCTCTCATATTCTAACCCCCACCTCCCTTCATCCTCTCTCCCTCTCTCTCTCTCTCTCTTTTTTTTTTTGTAAAAAAATATTGGAGAAAGTGGAAGTAAAAGATGAGGGAAAGAAAACAACGAACACTCAATTGAAGTCGATGAAGCTAAAATAGCTGGACCTCTAAATATGGAACAAGCAATTTTGGTGAAAAAAAAAGAAAAAAGAAATAATGACCATCAGTCATGATCTATAGCTTATATCTTTAAGGCCTTCCGTTTCCTACTTCCACTCTCTCATCCTGTCGCCCTCCTTCATTTCGTTGAGTTTTTTTGCAACCTAAGATTGATTACTTTGGCGTCAACAGGTAATGGAATAGATAAGCTTTCGAAGACGCTTCCGTAAATTTTTTTTTTGAATGAAAACAGATTTTGCGGATCAAAATGAGATTATAATAGCGAAAGTGGGCTCAGTCTTCTACAGACAAGCAGATTGTAGCATTTGGAAGGAAGTATTTATAAAATAAACACATGAATTGATTTGTTTTACTTAATATAGTTTTAGGACAACATGACACGTCTTCTTCAACGATGAATTCATTTCCGAAGACTTAACCCCATCGAGGTTGATTCCCAAATAACCCAGACGAAGAAAGTGATGAATTGTCTTGAATAAAAATAGAAATAATGAGCACAGAATCCAATATAAAAAAAAAAGAAAAGGAAAGATGAAGAGAAGCCTAAAGGTCCAGCAGGGTTTGAAGTCCACCAGCAAGTCTCAGCTATGGGTCGCGTAGACTAGCTCTAACCAAAGAATTAGAAGAGACACAGAGATAGATGAAGCATAGACAAAAATAAAGACAAGATATTCGAAGATAGAGAGAGAAAGAGAAAAAGAGAAATATCAGGGAGAAAGAGCTGAAGCTGGTGCACATCGATCCACTCTCTCTCAAGCTATCTAACACATATAGCTTCTCCCTCAACCTTTTTTTTTCTGTCTTCTTTCCCTCTCTCTCTCCTCATCCGTGCTTGTTCAGTATAATGCTATCTCTATCTTTTTTTCTCTTCTTTCTCCTCTTTGCCTAACTTCTGCTCTGAAAAACAACTTTCCTTCTCTTGATAACATAGAAGTGATGAAAATTTAAGCGAATTCTCTGTTCTGATTTATAAATCATCCATTTGACTTGTTTCGTTTGTTGTTTCTCATTAACGGCTTTCAATTTTGCCAAAAATTTTTGTTGCATTGCGTGGCTTCCTAATAAAGAATTTGTCAATCACTTTCTCCAAAAATTGACAAATTTCCAGCTTTCAAGTACAAGCATCGAATTACTCCTCTATATCTTTGAAATATCTGTTGTAACATATAGATTTTCATAGTTTGTGTTCATCATCAACTTGTTCACAAATTTCCCCAGGGCATAATGATGTGTGTATTTACATCAACCAAAATAATAGCTTATTTTGCAGTTCATTCTTCTTTATTAATACAGTTTGTATGCCTATGTGGATGCGTGTGTATGTGTCTGTGTGAAGAGTGATAGAGTGAGAGAGGGTGAGAAGAAAAGCGGAATTTCAAGAAAAAAAATAATAATTTCGTTGCTTGTATCGTGTGTGTTTGACCACTACCCTATCCCTCCACCCCACCTCATTGCTTTCCTCTCTCTCCACTACGAAAAATATGAAAAAAATAATATTATTTTAAATCTTTCAACATAAAAAAGAATAATAAAATCACATAAACTACTACACACATAGTAGTATTAGTTATTCTATGAGAAAGCAACCGGCTAGGCGTCCAGCGAGAATATAAAATGCGAACAAAAACAAAATTAGCATAACGACGTGGCAACATCTAAAGTGTGTTACCGACAATACAGTCTACGCATTCAGCATAGACTTATCAATTTCATTACTCAATGTTTGTTTTTTGATCTAATCTGTCAAAAATATCATCTGAAGACACTTCATTCACGTTAGCAACATCTTCAAGACGATTATCGTATGTTGTATAGTTAGCCCTTTCAACTTCCAACTTCAATCATTTCGCATAAAATTTGCATTTTACGTGGATTTACATGTGTTTATACATGGTAAGTGTTCTTATGTGAGAGAAAAAGAGGAGCGAATGCCATCAACTGAAAGTTAAAAAGAAATTTTCCGACACTTTTTCGTTTTGTCCCTTGTTTCCAAGTATCTCGGCTAACGATTTTGATTGCTCAAGCTGGGTGGCCTAGTTTCATTTGGATTATTTGAAACCTTCGTCCCTTTTTTTTTATTTCAAACTTTCATGTTGTAGTATTGAATGCTTGAGTAAGAGAAGAGTATTGGCACAACTTGGAGGTTGTCATCTCGCTAACTATGAATGTATTAAATATGCTTTTTGTATCCTTTTTTTTTACTTTTCCTTCATCTTCTTCACATAAACAGCTAAATAGGTTAAATATGCATCTTTTTGGTGTTTCCGCATCCGCTTTCTGTTCAGTATTTTGCCGATTATTTGATGAAAACCGCGTCGGAACGTTTTGTATGAAGTTGTTCATCAATTTATAAATTCCATTATCAAGTAAAGTAGAGGTATAAAAGATGTTCCAAAGGCTCAGTTATGGTATTGAAACTGCTCTTCTTCCTCTTCTTCTTGTTCTTTTCCTCCTTTGGGATATTTGTATGTATACATGTGTCAACTCTTGAATGAAGCAATCGCTTACCATTTATCATATTTCTGTATTGTACAGTATCATTGAGTGACGTGTGCTAGGTGTACAGGTCAAGCTTATACGTTACCTCTGGTTATTACCTAGAGATTTGACCTCATGTACAAGTTCTTTCATCATTTGTTTATGTCTGACTCTCTGCTTAAGATAATACGAGGACGGATTATGATTATTCTTTAGTATCCTGTGGTTATGTAAGCACCAGAGGTGCTGTTGTCGCATGAATCATACCCATCATATTTGGTCGTAACATATGTTGAAATCATTTAGTCCTTATACGCTATGAATGTGTTGAACATCATTGTTCCTTCTTCCTTTTTCAGCAAACTTCTCCTTCTGTATTACTTTTGTCTTTTTGATACGTTCGCACAAAGAAACAGATGATGAAGTTTTGAAATAACTTTAAAATCTCTTTCAACGTACATCATCACCGTCTATGGATTGATGAATGCATGTAGTTATTGAACAAATACCTCAAATGACTAACTGTTTCTCATTTTTCGGCCCATCAACCAACTGAAAATCTCAACGCACAGACCAAAACTCCAAAAAAAACACTTCGTCTTACTTGTCTCGTTTTTTGATTTTCTGATCGACAGTGTCTTTCATTCTCTTCAACAAACACGAGTGAAGAGGTGGGTGAAAAAAAAATTTCCCAAAAACCTTTGATGGAAGAAAGAAATTTTGTTTTTTTTTCTTCGAACAAATCCTCTTTTTTACCTTTGTCTGTTCATCTCACACTTTTTTGAATTCATTTCCATAGTTTTCCTGATGAACTTGCTTTTGCCCTCTTCATTCTCTTGAGTTCCATTCTTCGTTTCTTTCAATTTTCTCTGTTTTCAAATAAAACCTCTTTTTTCCCCATTTTTGCACAATCTATTTTCTACTTTCCAGAACAACTCTAACGATGGAGAGTGGTGGTATGAATGCTCTAGTCTCATCTATTCAGCCTATCGAGAGGTACGTTAACCCAACTGTTATAAAACCGTTTTATTCTTTTTTTTTCTCGATTTTCAGCCTTTATGAGCAACGTTGTTTAAAACGAGCACTTCCGGATGTGTCCTATGATTTTAAAAGGCCAAAGTTTGATTTCATCTCTGAAGAGCTGGATAAAACCTATAACGTTTCTGAAGATTCATGTCCTTCATCCCCAACAATCGAAAACAATGACGAAGAGGATGAGGATTCAGAGTAAGTTTGAGAGGACATACAAATCAAACGGATTTCTTTTTTCTAGCGTCCTGCCATCTTCACCAATTCGTCCATCAACTCCACCCATGGGTCACCTTCTCAATGCACCACGAAAGCCAGCAATGAAACGTCTGTATTTTGGAAGACTCGAGGTATCTTGGCATTTAAGATTTTGTTTGGATGTTTACATTTTTTCTAGAGACTGCCAATAAGACATTTCGGAGATATCAGTGACGTCACCGTATTCAATTTGCTTTGAGTCAACAGACTGATTAGGATATTAATTTGCATTTTAACGGATAAGAACCTTGACGGTTGATGAAGAAATATAATTATTGATATAACAAGCCCTCATCCCTCACTAAACCCCCTAGTCTCATGTGTAAGCATTGTTTTAAACCTCGTTGTTGCCATTGTTGCCCTCAGTAATACTAATCTCGTATGCTTCATCATATTTCACTTGTTCAACATACAAAAAGACTTCTTGTATTTAAATAATATAAAAATTGGAATGCTCATATGTTTTTATCGATACTTACACTTAACAGAAGTTACAACTCTTTCGACAGTTGTTAACCATCCACCCCTTATGGCTGGGGTTGTTGCAGAGTTCCTTCAACGCCCAAGCACCGCAGTAGACGTTTTTGTCTTCACAGTTCGCTGAATCAAATGATGATTTGTCAATCAGAGAAATGGACAGATACCTGGTTTACAGTACATCTTATTCAATATTTCAATATCGCTTTTACTCATTCGAGTTCGTTGTCCAAGTAGTCTTAGGTTTTCAGCCGTGTTCAGCTATATACTCATATCGTAGATGTGGAGATCAAAGATAAAACAAACTTTTGGAACCATTGTCGGCTTCGTTACATTAACAGCAGCAGTGTATGCATTATAATGCATTATGCTTCCATAATCATATTTCACTCCATAACTTAACGAGAACATTTTTTGCGTTCAAATAGTCTTTCCTGTTACGTTGTGTATAGTTTCGAGTCAGCAACTACGAAATAATCATAATGTTGTGGGTTTATGTTACTCCAATCGATGGTTAGATGCTGATCTCGATCCATTCGCAAATGCTGATGGTTCACTCCAAGGGCGTGCATCGTTTCGTGAATGGCAACTCCACGGGACTGTAATATGCTAATTTCATTGAAAAAGCGTTTTTTTCCTTTTCTGTCATACATCACCACATTGGAAACTGAGGTAAACTGGATTTGCTGGATCAGTTCTGCCTATGTATGACAAACCACAGCTGAAACTATCTGTTTAAACTTGACATTACAGCGTTTTCCGTGAGTCATTCTCATGTAAACCACTTTCGCACTTAGCATTTATACTTTCAAGTGCGTTGGGAACGGTTGTTGTTAATGAACTCTCGTCCAAGTAATGTACTTCCCGTTGTCACTCACAATGTTGGGCTGTCCACCTTCAAATAATTGATATGATAGCCACTGGGTGTAGCAGCGAAGTATTGGAATTTGATACAAGTATTCTTTGTAATTTCAGCCAAGGCTTGGCGAACATCTTCTCTATCCAGTTCTTCTGTAAATATGGAATATAAAGTAAAGTTATGAGCTTTTCTTAATTACCCAAAGACTCATCCATTGAGTAAGGAATTGGCCTGGTTAAATCCCATTTCTGCACTAAGTTCTCTTCGAAGAAAACCGAGGCTCTAAGAGTTTGATAATGAAATAGCAGCAACAATCTAATACCTTCGTTGTCTGGCTAAACGTGCGTTGGCGACTGTGCTCGTTTGAAGAAGCTGTTTTTCTTTAGAGTTTGAACCAGAGCTAGAGTCAGAATCAGAATCGGAATCAGATTCTTCATCATCTGTCCCTGGATCAGGCACCTCATCAGTACCAACACCACCTTTTCCGAGCTCATTAAGCAAAAAGTTTTGTTGTTTCTCAGTCAACAGCAAATCGCGATCAAATATTCCATCATCAGCGGCAACAACCTCAAAGATAATAGTTCTTGGAGCTCAGATGTTTTTTTCATGTTACCACATCTGTTAGATTGGCTTTTTCTAACAGAGCCTGCTTGATTTGTTGGGTTCGATCGAAACGCAGAGTAATAGCATCAGTTTCATCTTTTCCGGTGACAGCTTTTTCGAAATCATAAATCTTAAACGCAACTTGGGGATTCAATAGAGGATCATATGATTTACCTTTGTGACAATAGTTTCTCTGAACTCTTCTCGTTTTTGATCTTGTTCTTGACATTTGAAATTGCGGCAAACGTTCTGAAATATATTATATGAAAATGGGTAATGTCATGAAGGAAGCAAACCCTGATATGTTTTACGATGCTTTCATCTCTCTGTCCATATACTGGATGATATTTTTTTGCTTCTTCAACCAAATCCTGGTGAATATTCAACAACGGATTGCGGATGTTGATTCTAGAGGCATAAATGGTTAAAGGGGTTTCTTGTTTCCTTTCCTACCTAGGCACTCTGGGTAAGTAGTTTCCTACATTACGGAAAACGGTTGTTACAATTGTTTGAAACTCGGTAAACTCAGGACCATTACCTCCTCTGAAGTTCAATCAAGGTATTTTTTTCTGGTTCCGCCTTCAAAAAAACCTGCACGATGGGTGTCCTGGGAAACGACGGCAGAATCTTCTTGCACTTTTGTTCCAATCATCCGGGCGGGAACGAAGCTTCATCGCGTGATCGAAACGGAAATGGCCTCGTCTTTCGCGTCCGCGCATTCTTAGAGCATGAGGTGGCCCTCTAGGTGGTGGGATTCCGAACGGATTGTGTCCTCGTGGAGAAGGACCATGAGGGTTCGGTATGTCTGCGAGCATTCCAAATGGCTTAAACATTACCAAAGATTTATATATTAGTGTATGAATAATACCGAACGATCTCTTGAGCCAAAGGGAGGAGGACCGACTGGAGGGGGGATTCCACCAAAACGTCCAAAACCTCCAGGTCTATTACCACGATCATCGAATGGGTTTTGAGAAGCTCTGGGATCATTCCCGAACCTTGAGTCTCTATTTCCAAATCGTTGGTCAACGTTTCCGAATCTCGGGTCACCGTTACCCTGTCTTTGGTCAGCATTCTCGAACCTCGAGTTACTGTTCCCGAATCTTGGGTCACCGTTCCCAAATCTCGGGTCACCGCCATTGAATCTTGAGTCCCTGTTACCAAATCTACCATCCGTGTCGAATCTGGGATCAACGTTAGAACCACCTTGGTCTCCCCATCGTTCTAAAAAGTATATAGCTGGATATTAGAAAATGTACATACCTCGTTGAGCTTCGAGAGGAGACAGTAAAACAAAAAGAACTAGGAAGATCATCAGAAGTCGTCAAGGTAGCAACGTTTCTTGACGGTGGTTCCTCGCCCTCTGACATCAAATTAAAAGTTTTTGATTGCGTCCTTTCTTCATGTTAGGAACCAGTTACCGATCATAAGGTTGAAACTTCTGTGGTTGTAAACGGTAGGAGGCAATATTCTGTCCCCGAGGCAATGAGCCTCGAAACTGATAACCATCTATGACATCATAAGAGATTGGGTAAGCAGAACAAGACTTAACCTATTAAGATCGCTCACCGAAATGTCATTTGTGACAGTGGAAATTTCCAACAGACAACTAGTAGTTTTTTTTTCTGTTGTCGTCTTCATCTCCTGTGACCCAACCAAGGCTTATCTTCAGTGGAACTTAAGAGAGAAAACCCGACTTTTTTGAGCTTTGGCCGGTTTCGTACACAATCCTTCCGTGTCGAGTATTTAGCGACAAATGATTTCATCAAAGAAAGAGAAGATGATAGGCAGCCAATCTTTTTGTCACAAAATTCAATCGTTAGACACTTGTGATCGTCTTGAGTTCACTTTTTTTTTCTGTTCATTTGAAAAATGACATCACGTTAAGATGGTAAAAGGTCTTGTTTGTCCTTCTACTCTAATGGTATTCATTAAAATTCCTTTTTCGAAGTTTGAATGTGAAGGTCTTTTGAGATTTTATTTTGAACATCATTTAAATGAGAAAAACAAAGTGTTTTTACAAAAATTAAGAGAAACAGATAAGGAGGTACATGATCAAGAGGTAATCTTCTATCGTCCACACACGTTACAACTTTTCTTACAATTCTGTAGGAGCCAACCAGAATTGTTAGGATTCGTACAGAGACCCTTTAAAGCCCAAGCTCCACAATAAACATTTGTATCTTTGCATCCTGAATACAGTATATCTTATTAAAATGAAGTCATCACTTCATATTAACCTGGCATGCAGTACATCTTTTTAACCAACTCAACATCTCTTGCACTCATAGCGCGCCGCTGACCAAGCAATCTCATGTTCTTTTGTGAGTCAACCTTAATAAAAGAGAAGGATTGAGTTAGTTAGTTTCTTGAAACCTTCGGAATCATCGTAGGCTTGACAACATTCGAGGCTGCTGTATAAGCATTGTAATGCATTATACTTCCATAGTCGTAAGGTACGCCATAACTAGAGAGAAGAGACTTGAAGTATATAGGAGAAGTTTGCAAACCTCGTGTATATCTTTGAGTCTACCACCACAAAAGAATCATACATTTGAGGGTTTATGTTGCTCCAGTCTACTGTTATATGCTGATCACGATCAAATCGCAGATGCTGATGAGCGACACCAAGAGCATGAAGAGTTTCATGAATGGCAACTCCTTTACTCTATCCATTATTTTAAATATTAATAATTTTTGGAAGGAAATCTTACTTCAGTACATTGAAAAGAGAGATAAACAGGGTTAGCACTCATATCTTTTGTTTTGCCAATATAGGAGAGCCCGCAGCTTCAAAAGAAGGAAATATGGGAGTCGATCGAGTTTAATAACTTACAAAGTTGGTTGTTCCACTTTATAATAAACAATGTGATGAATTCTTGGAGGTGTTCTATATTCACGGAAACGGAGGCATGTTTGGCTCTGTATATCTTTAACAGCCGCTCTTACAGTATTCTTATCCACTTCCTCTGAAATGTAGAAGTAAGAAACTCCATACACTACTCGATTTGCAAGAATGAAAAGCAACCGCTCTGTTCGATATTTCGACGAAAAATGGTATTCACGTGATTTTCACGTTAAACGTTCAAGAGAAAGTATAAGTCTGATTTCAGAAAAACCTAAAGAATCATCCAATACAAATGCAACGGGGGAGTTTGGATCCCATTGTTGAATGACATTTTCTTCAAAGAACATGGCAGATCTGAAAGAATCGCCTAGTTATGTAGAACAAGATGAATCAACCTCTTTCTTCTCTCATTCAATTCTAGAAGCTCTTCAGCAGTACGATTTCCGTCTAACGTAGTATCGAAATCTTCTGGTTCCATCATATCTCGACGATGCCTTGCCTTGAATTAACGGAGTCAATACGAAGAAATACGGTATGTCGCATACACTTTTGCCTTTACCCAAGTCATTGAGCAGGAAAACAGCTTGATCTTCAGTTAGAAGAATGTCAGAATCGAAAACACCGTCATTCAATGGTGAAACCTTAGTAATTAGTAGTAACATTGGTACATTAATGGTTGCCAAACCACACTCGATAGATTGGCTTTTTCAAGTAGAGCTTCTTTCAACTGTTGGGTTCTGTCCAATCGGAGCTGTATCTTATCTGTATTATCCGTATCTTTTCCTGTGTACTGTTGATCAAACTCCAACATCTACGAAAGGACAACATTATTTTTTCTTATAACAGGCGGTTCACCTTTGCTTGGACAAGACGTTTCTTCTCAATAACGTTTTTAGGTTGTTGCTTGCATTGTCTCCCGCGACAAACGTTCTCAAATTCCAACAATAATCAGTTGGTAACATCATTAATTACCTTAATGGTCTTGGCTGCTTCAGGGTCCAGTTCTCCAAGCTTGATCTGGAATCCTTCAAGAAGTCCACGAAGAGCACCATTCACAGAAGCCAATGGGTCTCGGATGTTAAGTCTAACGATTGTGAATGATTGACATGTATTAACTTATTCAGTACCTAGGAATTCCAGGTAAGAATTGTGAGATACCATTGTTCAAATTATCCAAAATGGATGAGAGATCTCCAATCATAGGAGTGTTGCCACCACTAATAACATATTTGTTGCTGTACTATTAAGGGGATTAAAATCACCTGCACCGAGGATGATTAGGGAATCTTCTACAAAACTTTTGAGCACGTGGTCTCCATTCGGCATCGCTGGGTTTTGGTCCACCCCGAAATCTCTAAAGTTTAATGCTGTTGTGGGCACAAAACTGATTCTACATACTTCCATGTCACTCAGAACATCAACTTTCTTAGAAGCATCAAGAATGGATAAGCCCTTTCCAGCCACACCTTTCACCATATCAAGCAACTGACTGTTTCCTTGATTTCCTGAATTGAGTAAAGAGCCCAGTAAACCACCATTCTGCTGGTTTTGTTGATTTCCTAAAGTAAATGAGTTTTTTGCCGATCAGATGGAAAACCTCGATTGTTGGGAAGATCAGCATTCAAACCCGCCATGAGTCCACCCAATAATCCCCCATTTGAAGGTCCTGAACTTACTTTTGAATAGAGAATACAAAATATGAAAAGAAACCAGCTGGTCCGCCGAATCTTCCTCTCCCTCCATCACCAAAGCCTTCTGAAAACGGTTTGAACTAAGATAACTTGGTTAACATTGAACAAACCATCTCCTCCCAATAACCCTGAAAGAAAAGGATTTTAAAAGAAGATTATAAGAAAACTAACCGAATAGCTGTGTATCACCCCATTCGACCACCAGGAGAACTATGAAGAGTACTTCTCTCATTTATAAAATGAAACAAATGACAGTCTCCTTCAAATTTTCTCCTTAAATATGCCATCATCTCGTCATCAGGTGCTCTCCGGTAAACTAGATGAACAATTTGTCGAAGAAAAGAAGATGTTATCTGAAATATTTTTTTGGATCCTCATTCATTTAAGAAACCAGAGGTTACAAAACGATCAGAAAGAGGCCATTTCGCTGATATTGCAGTTTAGTTAACTTGACAAAACTTACAAAGTCTTTCTTTCAACCCTTTCTCAGTTCTTCAGAGTGAAACAGAATGAGAAGAAGAAAGTAGGGGAAAACAAACTTTTTGCCCAGTAATAAATCAGATAAAAGAAACTTGATCGACAAAATTTTGAAAAATAATATTTTCAACAACGGCTGCACAGATGTCTATTAGAAAGATGGAGAGGTACATGAAGAAGTTTCAAATATTTATTATGATAGCTCTAATGAACAATTTTTAACATACAGAGAGAGAAGCTCAAACAGGAATGAGTTTAATATGACAAGATGAGGTTAAACGTTGATTACCGGAAAATGATGAAAACAGAGAGAGAGAGAGAGAGGGAGAGAGAGGAATAGAGAGAGAGAGAGAGATCAAGAATATATGACAAAGCAGAGAAAGAAATATGAGAAAGAAAGACAACTTATAAAATATTAAAACTGTTAAATATCAAAGAGAACTCTAAAACATCTTACGTAAGATCTAATGACTGAGGTGTTATATTCAAACGGTTAAACTTCTAAAAAATATTGCGAGGCTTTCATTATGAAAATTAATTATTTCTAAATATCTTGGGTTATACAAGATATGATAGAGAGATACGTACAAAGTCCGAGTGCTTTCTACAGAATTATGAGTTATTTGCGATAGAGGGGCTCATCGAAATGTTTCAAAAGATTCTTTCTAGCCTAAACATCAAACAGTTATTATGACTTGCACTATCCACATGTACTTACCTCCATTTTGAAACGAGCTCCCAGTTTTGGCTTTTTAGGGGCATTGATGAGATGATTAAATTGTTGAAATCCCGCTCTGGGTGAAATTGCAAAACTCTCACTTGAACTAAAACTTATATAGGAATGAAATGAAACAACAGCGAAAGATGAAAAAGTAAATATGGAATATAGACTTACACATTAGCAGAATCCATATCCGAACTGGAAGTGGATGTAGAGTTAGCACAGTATTCGGACATTCTCTGAAAATAAAACAAAATGAAAAAAGTCGAGTAAGTTAAGAAAAGATGACCACTTGTCATCGAAGATACAAAAGGTAAACTAACTAATAAAGATCTTTATTAGAAAGTATGGTAAGGGGCGTGGTTTACGCTTATTAGGCCAAAGATGAGTTTGTGAACTGCTAGTGTCAATCAGGTTGTCGGAATTTCTTAGAAATACAATGTGCGAAGAAATGTTCGAACATGGAAAACACTGATTTACCGTAAAACTGAACTGTTAAGGCTTTCTAGATGTACACAAATCAACAAAATAAGAAACCAAAAATTAAACACAAAAGTTAGGGAAAATAATGTGTTTGAACATTAATTAGGACGCCTTGAATGAGCATACATGAAATTTCATTTATAACGTGAAGTTTGTGAGAAGCGGTTGTTCTCGCAGCCGAGATGACAACTAAGCCAGAAATGAGAAAGGATAGTAGAAGTTAAGTATATAAATGTGATGATTAATCTTTGATCCTTTCCTTTTAGGATAACCATGATGGCATCTGTCATTGTTCTTATTGGATTGTTCGTAACATCATTGATTATTGCGTCTTACTTCAATTCGTATCCCCTCATTTGTAGTTTGATATCAACCTTTCTTTGTCTATTCATTTATGAGGTTATTTTTTTGAGGGAATTTTTATTTAAAACTTATTATTGTTATTTTAAGTGGTATAATGTCCATGGAGATCGGCTCACTCTAAAGCGTAGAGCATGTTTTGATGTATCAAATGTTTTGGAAACTTATCAGACACGAGCAAGGACATTGGGACATTTGTTTAAAGTTCTCTAAAATAATTTTAATATGTTTTTTCCATAAAATATGTTATTATAGCCTGATCCACCCACTCCCGGTGTTTCTTTTGCTGCAGGACCTGTTGAAACTAATCCATCTAGAAGTACAGAGTTCAACACACATCGCGATTCTGTATGTGTCATCGCATTTTATTCATTATTATATCCAGTTATATAGCATTATGCCAACATGTACGAAAAAGCTATCAAACTTGCTAAAGAGATGGAAGCGATAGATTTTCCAATGGTAATCTTTTTGTTTTTTCGTCTTTTCTAATATCATAATTCAGGTGGATGCATTTAAAAGTGGTTCAACTGCTTACGATGACTACTCGGATGATAAGAGTTTGGATTTGAGTTTTGGAGAGAACTCTATTAGTCCTGCCAAATCTACAACATCGAATGATTTGAATGTAGAATCCGAAGATCTTCCAACTGCCAGAAGTCTACACGATTCTGATGAAGAAGTTCCGACAGCTCGTGAAATTCTTTCTTCTCATAGTACTTCCTCCGCTGACCGTAAAGCTTCAAAAATATCCGGAGAGGATATTTCAAGAAAGGAAAGAAAGTAACAGACACAAGAGAAATGTTATCATCGTAAATAAAGAAGTTTATATTTAGCATAAAATATTTTGAATATAGAAGAAAAATGATTCAGAAAGTATTAATCTCTTTTTGAACGCCTAGACCAAAGAGACTATGGTTCATACGGAAATGAGTAATTCCAAATCACTAAAAACTTCAATGTCATTCCTTTATCTACAATAGTTGTAAGAAGAAAAAATAAGAAAACTATGAAAGAGAAAGAAATGAAAAAGATAATTCGAACATCGTTTTCAGTTGAACTTTTCGAAAAAGGCTTATTCCGACGGAACGCGATTGGTTCGTTGATTGATCCAAATCATTTCGAATGTGAGTGCCGCTGATCCACTCATCTGTTTGTTTTTTCAAACTAATTTTCTTCCACGTTTCGCTTCATCAAAAATTGCCATCCATTTTTGACACAACCATGTTCATACGCCTGCGTTGAGTAAATGAAAAGAAGGCCCACGTGAGTTTAACCTTCTGATCATCCTGTGATTCATTTCCGTCATTCTCTTATTATTCTAATGACGCAGTTTTTGTATTCTTGAATTCTCTCAATTCATAAATCTGTGTGTTTAAGTAAGACGTGTAACGTGTAGGTGTGAAGACTAAGAAAATGAAAATGACCAGATTCACAGCTCTTTTACGCAAAAAAAACTAGTATTCCAAATAAGAAAAAAGGAAATATCATGTAAATAGAATGTCTGTGGAGGGGGTGGACATCGGAATGCTGGAAATTATTCAATGACGATCCTCTTTATGTGTTTCTCCTCATTCTTCTATTCATAGTGGAGTTGCGATATAAGCTTATGAAAGTTGAAGAAAAGAGGAGAATAGAGAGTGATAATGGACTGATTGGCTATATCTAGTCGATCAATTTGTGTTCATGTACTGCTTATGTACTCATTTGTGATCTACGCGCCATGCCGTTTTGATCTAACAAGACCAATTGGCATCGACACCCTACTCTGCATATGAAAAAAACGTGAAGAAAAAAATAAAGTAGAGTTTTGAGTGTTCAAATTGAAATCTTTTTTCCCAGCATTCGCTAGTTTTATGTGATACTCGTTTGTATATAGGCGACATTCTATTAATGCGTCGTCATTTGTTAATCTTCGAAAGAGTTACAGATACTTTTGAAGGTTCAACAAACTCAATTCCTCTTTCTCCAAGTGTCTTCAGAAGATGTACAAGTGACTCCCACTCGCTCTTCCTGTCACTCCTTCTCTCTCTCTCTCTTCACGTATTCTTTGTTTTTTTGTTTTATTTGACCAAAAGGAATTGATATATAAATCTATCATTATAGTTTTGGTTTATTCTTTTCCGTATTTTATGAGAATAGTCGTTCATTATAGAAGTTGTATGTTTGCTTTCTGTTCTTTAACTTGTTAAGACGATACACAAACTGCGAGCAAAACGGTCTTTATACCGAATTTAGAGTTTGATCTTATGGCTTTTGTGTTATGACTTCGCATATTATTCTTATTTTGTTTATTGTTTCAAAAAATATTTTTTGTTATCACACGTTGCTACTACTTCCTGAAGTTCAAAAGCCTGTCATGCTGAACCGGTAAAGCTTACGCAACTTACCCTGACTACAACTTATGGAAATTTTTGATAAAAAATTGGATCCTCCTGCATACGTATATATAAGGCAAAAATGGAATTGGACAAGTTGTTGAAAGCACGAACTGTTGTGAAAGCTTGTGCAGACAGGCGGATGTGCTCAGCCGTCCTATAGAGCTTAGTCATCCTGACAATCTCTAGAGGACCCTCCCCTTTCTGTCCAATTACGGAAAAGTTGTTAAAGTTTTCAACCTATTGCTACTGAAGCTTTTCATTTATTTTTCTTCCTCTCTCCTTTTCCACACACAGACACGGACTGTCCTAGTTACACAACTGAACTAGTCCGTCTATTATAGCTTTTTTGATCATGATTCTCAACCATTTACATGGAATTTATTTATTTTTCAGTGGCATATCTGCTTTATCTATTTGGCATAATGTTTATCTTTTACTCTTAACTATTATGTTTATCGTTTGTTTACCTGAATGCCATATGTTCTACCTCCTACTTTCTTTTCTTTGTCATTTCTTTTCAATCATCTGAAAAGAACGAAAAATAGAAGGAACGTTATAGACCTCCAGATAACTTTACTTTCCATATGAGAGATACTTTTTCTATAAGAAATTTTCAAATATTTTAACAACTGAAACCAAAAGGTGAACGACAACTGTTTGAACAGTTTGAGAACGCCTCCGTCCTGCCTTCTCTTCCTCACTTCTTCATCTCTCACCAAATTTTATTTTTTACTTTGTTTTAGTTGTTATTTTGATGATTGGTAAAGTTATTTTTCTCAACAATATCAAGCAATCGACTTCTATTCTTCAACATTCAACACATTCCTCAATCCTCTCTTCTCCTTCCTCATCCAGCAGTTTCTCCGTATTCCGTCTTATCGCCAATTAAGCGTGTCGAAGTTGTAAGAGAGAAATATTGCAAAATTCATCTATTTCCTAATAATTAAGTTTTTATATTTATTTCGGTCAGACCAAATATAGTTGCTCATTCGTTCACATTATACAAAACATTATTTTGAAAATCTGCCGTACTCGGTATGGGCTTCGATCATCCTTTTCGTCCTTGTACGATCCAAGCCCAATTTCCAGTTTTATTTCAACTAATCAATTTTTACTTAATTTTTTCGTCAAAACAATCGTCATCATCATCAACATTGTGTCTGTGCGCTAGTGAGAAGGGGGGTGGCTAAACTCGTGGTCAAGTAGACTTGAAGTTAGCAGGTGCTCCGTACTGTGTGTGTTTTTAGAAAATTAAATAGTAAAATCTAATGATACTTTAAGTATTATATGTATAACAAGTATTTTTCGTTCTCTCTTAATGTCTTCTTCTTTTTTATTATGAAGCCAGTTTCTCGGAAATAGTCATTTCTACAAGAAGTTTGACCATACATGACCCCTTGCTTACCACTTTCCATGGCAATACAACACGTTCTCAAACTCATGTCAAAACTTGTAATTACACGATTTTTTAATTTCAATTGAAACAAACAAGTGGCCGAAACGAAAAGCTGAAAATTTGATTTTCTTATATAACTTTCACTTTTTATTTTTTTTTGTCGGATAAGCCAGATGTCTATGTTGTCCAGTTGAGACTAAGAAATTTTGGAAGAAAATAATACCTTAGTAAAGTGTGATCGATTTTCTTTTTCTATTTTTCTGTTGTTTGCTTGATCCTTATGCGATCAATAGGCATCCGTTGATGTTGTTTTCTTGTTGTTCTCTTCATTTTTCTTCAAGAAGTTGACTGAAAGTAAGATGAATGTTTAACAATCAGCAACAATCGGGGGATTGAAACTGTGAGAGGGCTGTCTGTCTGACTGTGTATATGTCTGTGTATACGTGCCAGAAAACATTTTGTTCCAAATCTGCTGTTCTTCTCTATTTGCAAGCTCCTGGGTATGCAATGCACTCACATTGGACTCAAAAATGATTTTGAACAAATGTCGTGTTTCGTAAAGTTAATATTTTTTTTTGAAATAAACGTAGTGGCTAGTCTTGCTGACCGAACACTAACTGACCAGTCCTCTCTCTCTCTTTTGTGTGTTTCATTTTCACTTTTTTTTCTTATTATTTACCTATATATCCATATACAGAACTATTTCAACGTTCATTTACTTTCGTTCAAATTCGTCAAAACTCTCACATGAATTTGAAGATGACGAATAATAATAGAAATTGAGAAGAAGAGATTTCAATGAATTCGATGACTATCCTATTCAAATTGGCTTATTTCTGTTTATTTGTCTGCAACCAGGCTGCTCAATTCTATGACTTTGCTCTCTAAACAGTCGTTCCTTTTCTCTCTACTTGAAATTCTCAAGTTAATCAAAGAATATTTAAATGAAATGTCTTTTTGCCTCGAATATGATTGTCATTTTGTTTTTCTCTCTCTTTTTCTCATTTCTTCATCATTCTTTACTGTTTCGAAGAAAAAGTTATCAAGTTCAGTTGATAAGTCATTGCGTCCATTCGCGCCTCCCACATATTTGACTTAAATGTTCTTCTGACATTTTAAGCTGAAAAATAATTATCACGTTAACAAGCTTAATATCGGACCTCTTCAAACATTTCAATCTTCTTTTAAATTTATAAAATATTATTTGCCATTTTCATTTTTATCACATTTTAAATAAATATTGGAAAATTCAAATTGGCACGTGTATACGTGAAACTTTCCCGTGGACGTGGCATCGCCCATTTCATTAATGGGGAGCAGTGTCGCACAGGACGGTTGATGATCATTTTTTTGAAATCCGTTCCGTTCATCCCGTCAATTTGATTATATGTCATTGACTAGCACCAAATATGTTTTGTTTTTCTTTTTTCTTTTTTGAAATACTTTCAAAGACTCATAACTTGTTTTATGACCATCATCATCTGCATTTTGGTCATCCAGATTATAGACAAGCGTCTCTCATACTTTCTTACGTTTCTCCATCCTAAGCATTTCTAACAGAAGCTGACGTATGCTTCGTGTGATTCAAAAAAAAATAAACATAAGCAAGGAAAAAGAAATTTTTCTTTTGCGGAAGAAGGAAGTATAAGTATGTCAATCTGTGTTATTCCTTCAACTGGCCATCTTTAACCTCATATCCGTTTTTATCTATTATTCACCGGCAGCAAACGGCTTATTTCATCTATTTTCATTCCTTCTTTAGTCAATCTCTCTCTCTTTCTTTTTTAACAAAGAAGCAAAAGTTTAAACATTACAACAGACAACTCATGTCTACTTTCTAAGAATCACTCGTTTACCGTTTCGTTCCATTTGTTGACTCGTATCTCTATCTCATTTTCTCTACGATCTCTATCAATCACAATATGTTTCCTTGTAAAAACCATCTCTTACGTTTTTTGCGATCACTTTAGAGTAAGTTTAAGTATTTACTGTTTTCCTACCTATTAGGGCTTGAACAACCAATGGCGTGTGTAGTTGACCACCGTGTGCTTTCATTATATTGTCGTTATTTAAGTTCATATTAGTAGTCATTCCAACTTTTTTTTTCAGAGCCGAACATGGCGAAAGTTTCGCCTCTCGAACCACCACCCGTTTTCATTAAAGCTGAGAGAAAACGTATATTCCCATCTACTCGTTTCTTTTTTGCTGTTATACTATGTCTATGCTTTATTTCATTATCTGTATCAACTTCGAACATTTCACAAAGTATGGTGTGTATGGTTAGAAAACATCCAATTCAATTGGAAAATCCGACTGATGATGATGTTTTGAACCGCACAAGAAGAGATTTACTTGAGAATATCACTGATGACGATAAATCCATCAGTTTATCTCAGAGCCCGCCATGTAAATCCAAAAGGTTTTCAATAATCATTGTTCAAAACTGTTATGGATGTCTGATTTACAGATCAGCGGATGACGTGATGGTAACCCCATGTACTGAACGCTACAAACTCGATTGGTCTAACACCCAACAAGGTTTACCTTAGCTCATTGTCGACTTGATAATGCTCAAATCTTAAGGTTTCATCTTTGCTGCTCAGAACTTCGGATCACTTTTCATGTTAATAACTGGCTGGCAGGCAGATAAACTAAACGGAAAATGGTCAGTGTGCGTCTCGCTGCTGTTGCTGATCATTTCGAACTCACTCATCCCACTGGTCGCTTCCACTTCGGTCTGGTTGGTATTTCTCATGAGGTAAGTACAAGTACACATGTGATTCAATAAGCAAATTTCTATCTTTAAGAGTTATAACAGGAATGGGAGATGCATTATTATTTCCATCAGCATCTTCAATGATAACTCGATGGTTTCCCCCCAAAGAACGTCCATTTGCCCTTGGATTTGTTACGGGTGGAAGACAAATAGGTAAACAGATAAACACCAATAGTCATTTTCATTTTCTTTCTTTTTCTTTTCACAAAAACGATTAGATCAACCAACATAAAAGCAGCTTGTGTACTAACTTACCGAATGTTTACTTTTAGAATTTCACGTAAATTAAAAGTTAAAAGGAGTTTTTCCTAATTCAATAAGTCTTATTGACGATGCGGATATGTTGTGTGAGAATTGTTCAAAATACAAAAATAGAAAACATAAATTGATCAAATATTAAATGCTCGATTGTTAATTGACTTACATTATGCTTGTTTAAGGTACACTCCTTATTTTGCCAATTGCTGGTGTCTTGTGTGATTCTACGGGGGATTTTGGTGGATGGAAAGCTATTTTCTATTTATCAGCTTTAATATGTGCGATCGTCTTTTGTATTTGGATATTCTTGTCGGCTGATAAGCCATCGAAACATTGTTGTGTTTCTCAAGTATGTAATGAGTTACCATTATTTTATTCAAAAATCTACTTTCAGATGGAAAATGCCTATATTTGTAGAAAAATTGAGGAGGAAAGGCTAGGAAAAAGAACCGATCGGGGTAATCCTCCTTGGAAACAAATCTTTACCTGTGCTCCTCTCTATGTTGCAATTGCTGCCTTGGTTTGCCATGAATACCCACTTGTCATTATGCTACAGGTAGTTCAATAACATAATCAGAAAAGGTATCTCCATTTTTCAGTTCTTACCAAAATTCTTCTCTGATGTACTCGGTCTTTCATCTTCTGTTAATGGTTTAGTATCTGCTTTGCCTTCTGTCATTCTCTTCATCACCAAGACTTTATCGTCTTCATTATCCTCAGTGATAACTTCCAAGAAACCTCCTCTACTTTGTAAGTTCCTATACTTCTCGTTCGTTAGTAATCCGAAATATTCTAGCAAAAACGGCTTCATGTAAGCTTTTCAACTTTATTGCCTCCCTTGGACTAGGAATATGTGTCGGTATCACACCTTTACTCGGAAACATCGGTCATCCTGCGCCTGCAATCATTGTTTTATGTTTGGCTAATGCTTTTGCAGGTTTTAAACAAAGAATTGAACTTGATAATGTTATGTTTAAGGTTTACATACTCCCGGGGTTCAAACAGCACTTGTGCAGTTAGCTCCAGCATACTCAGGAATCGTTACAGGAATATCATTTACGGTTGTTGCGCTCTTCTCGATCATGAACAAATTAATAAGCAGTTACATCCTATCGTGAGTTGCTTTTACTGTATCAGTGTAAGTTGATCTGTTTTAGAACAAGTTCAACCCGGGAATGGACCATAGTATTCGAGATATCAGCAGTTGTCGCCATCTTGCCTGTATTCTTCTTCACGTATTGGGGTTCAGCTGATTTACAGCCGTGGGCCATGCCGAATGGGGTTCAGGTGTCCTCTACCTCCAGAACTTTTATTTATTTTGCTTCTTTACAGAAAAAAGAGAAAGATATCGATCAAGAATCACAGAACTCTTCAGACTCGACTGACACTATTGTAACAACTTTAGCAAAAAACTCCATGTATCTCTCGCACGTTGTTCAAAGTTGCAGTTGAGCACACTATACGGATTCCAACTAGATGCCAATTCAAAGAAACCATATTTAAATCGTAATTCGTTTAAAGCCAAGCTTCAAATAATTATGTAAATAGTAACTAATAGTTTATATCTTTCTTATTGTTGTAAATATTTGCCTATAATTAGGTTTAAACTTTCCAAATTTTGCGGGTGAATTATATTCACGTAAATCTATCAGCGTATCGTTGCAATTGTTTTACTTTAACTTTCGGAACATCACGGCCGTACTGCTCTTCTACACTCAAGAGGCTATCCAATTGAAACTTTAACTTCATGTGCAATTTATTAGAAAATAATGGCTTTGCTTTACCTGTCTATTGTTTTTTAAACTTGATGTACATATCATTTTGTTTTTAATAAACTATTTTTTTTTGATTGCATCCCTGCCAAATATGTCTTTCCTTCAAAAACAACTTTCACAACATTTTTCACGTGACCACACGTAAAACCAACGTGAAATTTTTCCCGTTAAATGTTATTTTCACTGCTTTACGGCGAATAGAACGGTTGCTTTCAGCATTTTGCATGCAAATGGCCCTCAATGTGTGTTCGCTGTTTTTGTTTGCGTATGTCGTCTATCAAAAAATTGTGGACGACGCTCATAGAGCCCGCATCGTCAATAAGCTTATATACTCCATTAATTTATACACCTCGTTCGCAATTATATAAATTTGTTTCAGAAATGACCGATCCCAAGCAGATCATTGCTTCTATCAGAGATGCTTTACCCAAGAAACAGAAAGGGGCTCTTGGTGATGTACTGTCTTTCATTGATAATCTACAAAACAAATCTGTGCCCGTACAAGTTAGTGTTGGTGGAGGAGCTGGAATGTAATAAACAGTTTTTACATCTCAATTTATTTCCTATTTAGGCTCTCTGGTTATTTGTTTACTAAGGGTAGTAAAGCCACGGCTACCGTACTGGGAGTATCTTTGTTAGCTTTCCAGGTATAACAGAGTAAGGAGAGCGAAGAGCATACTATATTTTTTAGTTCTGTAACTATCGTGGTTACATTAAACTGAACAGCTCCAAAATAGAAGACGATCTCCGTGATTTGAAGAAAGGAATTGAAAAGGAACTGTATGGACGTTCAAGCGCTATTGATATAAACGACAAACAAGTACAGTTCCCAGTTTTCTTCCTTGAAGCTAAATTTCAATTCTTACAGGTCTCAAAGTTTGTTCACGCTAACGCTTGGCTGTTGGGAGGCTTTTTCGCTGGATGGCTATTGGGATATGGCATCGCATAATTCATTTCATGACAATTTTTATCAATGCTTTACTAAAACCCCCATGTAAATCACTTAGAAGTTAGGGTAATCGCGTAAATGTTCATTAACTATTCGTATTATGTTCATATGTAATAAATGATTCTCATACAATTCTGTTTCTCAGCTAAGACAAGGTGTTAGAACTAACAAGCATTACCGTGTGATTTGGCGTCGCATCAAAAATGCGTGCTGAGCATTTGAATTTGTTTATGGCATCTCAAGGGTCAATTATAATTTTTTCCTGCTTTAAGAGTGTGAAACGTTAATTAGTTGCTTAATTTCAGTTATATTCAAGAAAGGAGAGAAATGGGTGATGAAACTTCAGTCGAAATGACGGTTGGGACTGTTTTCCCCGACTTTCGATCAAAACCATTCATTTCAGGATTTTCGTTTTTCGGGTCTTCAAAAGTGCAGAATAACATCAAGTGATAAAATTACGAGTTGTTTCCCTTCAGTAGCTGTATCTTCTCAAGCTCAAGTGATTGTAACATGTACAGGACGCACGGAAGTAAGTTTTCTCAGAGTTTTGTAAGCTAATGCTTTGATTCAGTTGACTGCTTGTCCTTCTAATCTAATTCATGATCTTCGTGTCAATAAAGAAAATGTTAATACAGAATTCCAAGGTCTTCCCAAGAAAACAATACTCATAGATAACATTGAGGTAGGCTGAGCTCAGTTTCTATTTCGTATGCGATTTTTAGGAAATCACATCTATTGGAGTGAGTTGTGATGGAAAAATCCTCGGCGCTCTTGTCAATAGCTCGACTGGATGTTTCGTATACCTATTCGATATTCGGGTGTTTTTCCAAAGCTATTCCGGACCGGTATGCTTTTGACCCGTAAACCTTGATGTTATCCTAGTATTTCAGACTGCTCATTTCTGTTCAGTTCGATTAGGAAGTGATGCTACATCCAAAGGAGTAGCTTTAGAATGGAACCCTACCATAGCTGACGTATTCGCAGCTTCTGGCTCAGATAAAACGGTTATAGTATGTTCAGTTAGTTTGGAGGTTTGCTTACGTCTAGATATCTCAACTATCCCGGAGTTTTCTAGGATCCGAAAATTTATAAATTATTGGGAATTAAACAATTTCCGGATGTTCTTACAATAATCAGTTGGAGTCCAAAAGGAAAACAGTTGACCGCTGCTGATAGTGCGGGAAATATTATTCAACTCAAGCCAGAATTAGAGGTAATAATTAGATTTATGACGTGAAAATCTATTGCTATATAGGTTGTGAGGAAAACCCCAGTCAAAGAAGGTCTACCATTAACTGCTGCAAGTTCCTCCTTAACGATTTGTGGTATGAAGTTTCAGAATTTAAACTTTAAGTTTTTTATTTGCAGGACTCTGTTGGCTTGCAACAACAGATTGGCTCGTGTCTTTCTCTGAAGAGGGAAAATCAGATACTTACACATTTCTGCTGAAAATTATGAAGGTTTATTGTTACTGCTATGGATTTCTAATCGTTATCCTTCAGAATAAGCCTCCGCAGTGGATACTTCTTCCTGATTTACAATATGGAAATCCCTCTTCTAAGTTCCCTCCTAGGATATTCACTGCTAGTCATTTACTGGTGAACTGGAACTTAGTTTTGATATGTAATTCGAAAACGAGTGAAATAACTGTGGTAGGAAAAACAGGGGAAGACTGGAAGGTGATATTTATTCTGGTCCTATGCTTCATAGTTCTCTCCCAGGTTTGGAGTTTGGATGATTGTGATAGATTCGATCTTCCAACAAATGCTGAAATGGCGGATACTTTCCCATTAGGAATGGCGTTGGATATCTCTTCGTCGAAAACTGTCATCCTGGGTGAGTTTTTCTGCTATGGGATATCTATATGAATACGTTTCAGAGGATTCGGCGACAAAGACTCATAGACCTTCTCCAATCCTTATGGTGCTCAATAGTGATGGGGTTCTAGCTTCTAGTCATGTGATCTTAGATCTGGGTGTTCCCGATGTTCAAGTGTATGTTCTTTTACTCATTCATATTGGATCATGTCATCCATTTCAGTAAACCTGATATCATTAGTTCGGAAGGTGTTGTGATTGGAAACTCTCAACCATCTATAGCAAGCGGAGAGAAATTCCACACAGATAAAGCTAAATCATTGTTTACTGCCGCTGCTGCTACTCCAGCTTCTAATTCCTTGTTCGGTGGCGCTGCTTCTACTCCAGCTTCTAATTCCTTGTTCGGTGGCGCTGCTTCTACTCCAGCTTCTAAATCTTTGTTCGGTGGAGCTGCTTCTACTCCAGCTTCTAATTCCTTGTTCGGAGGCGCTGCTGCTACTCCAGCTTCGAATACCTTGTTTCCTAAAACACCCGGACCACCTGCTGGTGTCTCATCGATATTTGGAGGCTCTGCCACTCCATTATCAACTGTTTCAACTCCAGCTACAAGCACTGCCTTTACTGGATCATCTGGTTTTGGAAAAAGTTCCGCTCTCTCTTCATTGCTTGGTGAAGCACCTAAAACAACCTCGACAGTTACTGCTAGCACTCCAATTTTTGGGAATGCTTCTGCAGCTACTACAGCTACCGTTCCTGTTCCATCTACTCCTCTTTTCTCAAAGCCACCTGGAGGCCTATTTCCTCAAAGCACAACACCTTCTGTCGCTACTCCCAATCCAATTGCTAAGCCTGCGCCGAAACCAGTGGTATCACCACAAAAGTCTCTTGCATCTGCCGATCTCACAGAGCATACTAAGGTGAGATTCTCGAATTGATCGTTAATTAGAAACTCATTCAGACCACTACTGAATCTGTTCCTGTACCTGTAGTGAAAGATAACAAAGCTGAAATAGAGCAGGCGAAAAAGTCTTTCATGGCTGTTTACAAAAAAATGATGGAGGAGATGACCGGCTTGGTAAGTGCAATCATCAAAAATTGAATCATAACACTCATGTACTGTTCATTCATTCATTTTTAAAAAAATATGAAGAGCGGTCGTATATCTGTGCTGTTATATTTTATTAGTTTGAAATCCTCCCCTTCTCTAAAACCAGTATTTCCAGAAAGATGATATTGGAGTTGTTCACACAGGTTTACAGAAAACAAAACCGATCGTCCATGAGAGTGGTAAACACATTCTATCAATCTTTGTACACGTTTAGTTCAGAGCATGATATTGAAGGACAAGAAGTCGTTTTGGAAATGATTAAAACCAACTCACAACTCGAAGAAAGTATGAGTGCTTTAGAGAAACAATTGAAAGGTACTGTGTTTTCAAACAGTTTGTACTACGCGATGTTTTCAGAAGCGTTCGCGACCGCAGCAGAAAAGTCTGATATCGCTGATATGTTCCAAGGAGATAAAAGTTTATTGAAGAGGTTAAAAGAAACGGATGATTTCGATAGAGTAAGATTTTGCTTTCCTGTAATTTGTATGCAAATTCTTTTTCTAGGAAGAGAGAATGAAACGATTGGTCATTCATATGGACAACTTAAAAGAGAAGTACGCTGATGCGAAAAAAATGCTGGAGCAAGCAAAGAAACAACAAGTTAGTAAATCCGCCCATCTACTTCCATCTGCTATTGGAGCCGACGACTTGATTCATAAACAAGTGAAAGCTATCAATAAGTCCATGACAGCTCTGAGGTATACCGCACGAGTTTCATACGGTTGAAAATTATAAAGTACAGGTTCCGCCTGGACACTGTCGAAGATGATATCAAGCATGTGGCTCAAGTTGCCAAGAAATTGTAAGTGAATTCTTCTATTGAAACTGGTAAACTACTCTTTCAGAGACGTAAAGAAACAGGGAAAACCTAATGATAAGCAGGTATTAGCGGTTAACATTTTGCGTGTGCAGCCTGTACCAGCTCCGTCTGGCGATCTTGACGCAATGAGAAGAGAAATGGCCGCGATTGTTCAAGCTAAATTGAAACATCCTCCTAAATTGAGAAGAATAGTTGCATTGCCTTTCACTAATGAAACTCTGCCTCAAACTTCAGCTCCAAATGCTTTGAACATCTCAGCCTTACAAAAAGAACAAATTGAGGTTATATTAGTTCCTTTATGCTTCCTCTCAACTATCATTCTAGAAAACTCGACCAATCGTGAAACCTGTTGTTCATATGAGTGATGCGGCCACTCAAGCTGATATGGTTTTACAAACAATCGCTCCTACAGGTAATATATTGGGTTTTTAATGTGAAAATTGTTCCAATTCCAGTTGTAAAACAACCAGAGACACCCGTGAGCAGCAGTTTCTCTACTTCAATCGCTACACCAAGTCTTATTACTAATATCAACAAGCCTTTGATCTCATCTACTCCTCTTCCAAAAGTACTTTCGGAAACGAATACTGTAAATACTGGTACACCTAATGTGATAAGCGTCAATAGTAAGCTTATAGTATCATAATGATAGCTTACACTTTTATTATTCAGGTGTGATAGGCTTGGATACCAAGAAAGATAACACCATTCAAGGATCTCAATCATTGAGTAAGTTTTACTACGCAATGATAATAACAATTTCGTTTTTCAGTTACAAACAAGCCCGCTTCAGCTAAAGCATTCTCTTTTGGAGGTAATCCGGAGAAACCTGCCGAAAAAGTTGACCTGAACTCTACTTCTTCAATCTTCGGAAAGTCTCCTCTGAAGGATGCAATTGATGCTCCTAGTGAGGGTTAGTTTTAAAGAACTACTTTTCGGCATTAAAAGAAGATTATTCAGAAAGTTCTAAAGCAGAAACGAAAACTTCTACTTCTGTGAAACCTGCAGAGTCACCGAAAACCGACATTCCAGAAAAATCTGAAACAACCGAACCTAAAACTGATGTGAAGAAGGAAGATACAACGACTGCAGGTTTGAAAACTCAAAATCTTTTTTTTCTGCTAATATCGAAGTTTACAGAAACTACTTCTACAGAGCAAAAATCGTCAATCTTTGGAGGTATTTGAAATTTTTTGCTTGAAATATATATTATTTTCTTAATTTCCAGGAAGCGCTGCTAAGACTACATCTATATTTGGGGGAGCTACTACTGAACCTCTTAAAACTTCTATATTCGGAACTTCTTCCTCTACCGCTTCTACACCACCTTCCATTTTCGGAGCATCTACATCTGCTGCCTCAACATTACCATCCGTATTCGGAACTACTACATCTGCGGCTTCAACAGCATCATCCGTGTTCGGAACTTCTACGTCTACAGCTTCAACAACATCATCCGTGTTTGGAACTTCTACGTCTACAGCTTCTACAACACCATCTGTTTTTGGTACTTCTACTTCATCTTCCACAAAGACTTCTGTCTTCGGAGCTGCTTCAACTACTGCTCCCGCAACATCTTCCGTGTTCGGAGCGCAATCATCAGCAGCTCCTGCTGCTACTTCTTCCGTGTTTGGGTCATCTACGTCTGCAGCTTCTAAAACACCGTCTGTCTTCGGAGCAGCTTCGTCTGCTGCCCCTACGACAACATCGTCTGTGTTTGGAGGTTCTGCCAACGCAGCCTCACCTGCACCTTTCGGATCTTTTGGCAAAGCAGAATCAGGTATCTTAATGTAAACATCATATTCTCAACGTATAAGTTCAGCTCAACCAACAAATGCTGCAGCTTTCTCGTTCAAAAATTCTCAAGGCAGCGCCACACCAGCTGCAACCAATGTCTCAGGATTTTCATTTAACAAGCCTAGCTTAGGTGGAGGATCCAACATGGGTTAGTTTACATTAAGTCCTACCGTGATTATAATTTAAAAATAGGTTTCGCTGCCGCAGCAGCTAAAGCAGCTCAAGAAGGAATGATGGAAGATGATATGGGAGATGCATCTGGAGCTAATAAGCCTTCCGGTTTTGGAAGTTCCTTCGGGTATTTATGAACTAGAGAGCTTCGATATTTGTTGATTGTAGGTCATTGTCGTTTGGGACTAGCAAACCAGCAGACAGCAGTAAGAATGTTTTCGGCTCTGTGAGTCAAAGTGCAAACTCTAATAAAGAAGGATGGTTATTCAAAAAAGACGCAAGCGTTTCATTTGGAGCCCAACAGGTTAGTGAATGCCTCGATTCTTGTGAGCACAGGATCCTTTAGCCTCAACAGACTAACCAATCTTTCGGATCATTTGGTTCAGGACAATCACAAAGTGTTTTCGGCGGTGCTCAACAAGCAGCTTCAAATACATCATCTTCGGTATGTCTTTTGGTGGTTTAATTTTTTATTGATTTGTTGAAGGCTTTCGGTGGTACTCCGAAGTTTGGCGGTAATCCAGCTTTCGGCGCGAAGCCTGTGTTTGGAGGAGGATCGTCACCTTTTGGATCAAGTCCTGCCAAAGGAGGATCAGTCTTCGGCGGTGGTGCTTCGACGGGCGGAGGTTTTGCTGCGTAAGTTTTCCTTATTCTTCAAATGAAATTTCTTTTTCACAGGTTCGCTAACAATGCTTCCGGTTTTGGTGGTGGTCAGCAATCTGCTCCTGGAACATCCATATTCGGTGGAGGTTCTAATCAACCAGCACAACAGCCAACTGCTTCTGTTTTTGGAGGTAGTCAAAATAAGAAGTAAGTCCACGCTTTAACTTATTGTGTAATTCTGTTTTATCTTGCGTGTGTTGGAGAAAAAGAGAGAGAGAGAAGAGAGAAGGATAGAAAAAGAGAAAGTGTATGTTATCAGATGAAGTTTTCTTTCTTAATAGTCACGTGGGTTATCAGACTATTTGTTCTTTTTGGTATCATTGTCGAATTTTTGTTAACCTTGTCTGAATCTTCATAGCATGTTACACAGCTGTTTGCACCCGCATTGATTTGGGTTCTCACACTAAATGTAACTTATTTTCAGTTCTTTCAACACTTGGAGATAATTTGATATATCGTCTTCGTGCATTTTTCTCAGATAACGATACCTTTCTAACTTGTGTACGTTTTATTTTCACTCGGGTACACCAAATAAAATTGTTGAATCTTATCAGTGTTATCTATACACGTGCTGGTTCTTAGCCATTCGTCTATTTTTGTCGCTTTTTTATCTATGACATTTAAAAGAATGTTATCCAGTTATATGAACATCCGTCTTCTGAAGACAAGAGAGTTCACTGCACTTTCCTGTAGATCACTGTCCCTGAATGAAATCTCGGTACGTCGAACCGAAATGAAATGAAACTTCTCTTCTCTCACTTAAGGTAGCTCTACGTCCTTTCATATTTGAAGTTCATCCAGATCGCTTCGCAAACAACCCCAGTGTTCAGCAACAGAATGAGAAATCTTTACAAGTAGTTTCAAAATCATCATTTGATACTGATAGTTTGATTTTTAGATTTTTAATGGTTATATTAATGACTTATTCCCTGTCTCCTCCAATATCAGACCAACAAAAGTTCAATTCTCCATAATTGATAAGCATACAAGAAACTTACAGAATATACAAATCAACTTGACCGGTACTGACCCTGTGCGAATCGCCAAGTTTGATAAAGAGATTATTTGTTTTTCTTATGATCATTTATAGACAAGCCTTAGAAAGATGTAATCTTAGTACAAATCATTTGCCTAATCTGTCTAAGCTGGTCAGAAATGTTGCAGCAGCAAACGACTTTGCTGGATTTGGTCCTGGTATTCGCACCAGTAATATAGACCAGGACTTACTCAAAATGTAAGCCTTTGTTTTCTTTTCGCTTCTGATTCAAGTTTCAGGTATCTTCAACGGAAGCGGAAAGGGCCCAAAGGTAATGATCTGCAAAATGCTTTAACTCACACGCGTACTGAAGCTATACAGAAGTCTAGAGAAGCAGAGTAAGTGTTATCATCATTTTTTTATTTTTCATTCTTTTTAGAGTAACGAAAATAACACTTAAAGATGAAATTGATGATTTGAAGTGGAGAACAGGTGCAAAAAATGTGAGTCATATGTAATTAGTCTTTTCATTTTTGTCTTTAAAAATAACTGCAACCGTGTTGTGTCAGTAAGCTTCGGAAATGACGTGTGTGTTATGCATTTCCACGTGAGTCACGTTTTGTGGATATGCTAATATACCGTCAAGGATAATGCTTAATCTGATGTTTTGTGTTATTTTGGATATCTCCTTGAAACTATGTCGTTTGGAGTACTTTCTGTTATTTCTTGTTTTTTTAAGATTGTTTGGCATATGGACTGGGCTGAATCGCATATGAGAAGATGTTTGGGAAATGTTCATCGTTTAATAGACCAATCAAATGAACAAAGAAGGGAAAGTATAATGAATGCTTTATACAAAAATGTTTTGAGGTTTTTGTTAAGATCTTCACTCTCTCATCTTTTTTCTGATGTAGATTCGGGCGTGGTTCATTCGTATGCTGTGATGGCTCGATACAATTTGGAGCTGATCACGTACCCGAGCAATGGGAGCAAGTACATTCTATTAAAGTTATTTTTAGACAAAGGTTTATTTTGAGATATGCTTGGAGTCATCTCGTCAACGTTCCCAACTCACTAATCTTCAAAATGCTGCAATAAGACTTCGTGATTACCTCGGGGGCGCTCTGATAATCTTACATCATCAAAGAAGTTTGTCACAAACACTGCAACAGATAGAGTGCTTGATAACACGGTTTGCGGTGCAAAGGCGAAAACTTGATAAGTTGTGATTTCTAGGATAAAGTGTCGCGAATCATTACACAAAGAGCTTGAGAAGTATGGTGCTGATACAATGATAGAAGTAGATACTTGTTAGTTACCAGGTTTATCTATTCTTCTTAAGGTGACAACTTCTTACGACGAACTAGCTGTCGGGGTTGATGGAAGACTAAATATTCCATGTAATGTAGATGTTGGCTACTTGGTCTCTTTTCTTCAAGAAAATTCGAAGAAAGCAGCCGAAATTAATAAGGATATGATCCGTCTTCAGGTTTGCATTCAGTGGGATCATATAACTAGTTGATAATTTCCAGGCAGAAATAGAAGCTGATAAGGATGCCTGTATGAGAGAGTTGAGACTACGTTCTCTTGACTGGGAGAATAATTTACCTCTCCCTGAGGTTCTGAATTCAATTCGAAGGCTACGTGATACAGAAGATTCTCTTCGTGAACTTTTAGGAGGAATGGGAATCAAATTTTGCCTCAATCCCAACATATACGTTATGAGTGACGGAAAACTATCAGTCCCTCTCAATTGGATTTAGTATCAAGTTCGAATCTTATAACCATATATTACTAATAATAATAATGTAAATAATTTTTACAATATCTATTTATCTTTTCTGTACAAATTGTATTCGAATGTGATGCTGCTGGTGCTTCATTTTTGTTTTTTTTTGCCGCCTATCATAATAAAATTACGGGAGTCACTGTAAGATGACTGAAAGAGAGACATGCCACATAAAAAAAAACGATTACAAGTAACGCATCAGAAAGCATCTATACGCCCAATCTTTGCTTTACATGCTTCAAGAACATATTAATCTCTCATCTCATATTTCTTTTTTGGAATATGATGTGGAGTTCAATGTGTCTTTGAAACTTCAGAGCACACGTGATCAAAAGCGATTATGAAAAACCTGAATCATCGCTACCATAATGATGTAAGATACAAGAGACAGTTTTTTTTTTATTTAATGAACCCTTGGCCATACTCTATAATCTTACAGGCAACCGCAAAGCGGTGGAACAGCCCATGAACTCGGAAACGCTGACTTAAAGGTGATGAACACCGGGACGTTCCAGATCAAACGATGAGCGAGTACTTTATAAAGTTGTGTTCGCTGAAAAAAAAAGTATCAACGTATAAATAAGTCTTATATGAGATGACTCTTGTCATGACACCCTCTTAACACAAGAATACCAACGTCGAGTATTTAATTCTCTGTTTGCCGAGAAGCAATGTTTGTGATCAAAGGAGAACGCCATATCACGTATACGGCACTTTCATTTTTTATGCGACGGCTGTTTCTGGTCATTCTTCTAAGCACTTAAGCTTTTGTTAAATTTCTGTTTTTCGTAATTAATGTCACATAATTCATTCTTAAAGAAGTTTCACATGTTACTCTCTTTGTTCATAAATTTTTATTTCGTTTTTCAGGTTAAAGGAACAGACACGTATCGATTCGGGACTTGTAGGAGCAGTTCTACAGCCACTAAGCAGACATTTAGTACGTTTATTAAGCTTTTCAATTCTCATTATGTACAAATATAGACGCAAGATAATTTTTTTTATAAAAAAGGTGAACATTTTCGTTTCACGAATACCCATAAGTCATACCAAGCCCTAAGTTTTTCAAAGAATAATGCCTATTTTGGAATAACATAAGATAGTGATTTGTGGGAGAGTGAGATAACAGTCTTAAGCGAAGTTCTATTACAATAATCTTCATAAGAAAGTGCTTCCATTGGTTTCACTTGTTAGTTTCGCTACTGCTCTGTACTTTATTAGAGAGTCGGACTCCTTATTATCGCTGATACTTTCTTCCCCTGAGGCGATATGCACATCAACTGTGTCTGGTTCTATGGCACTATGCTTTGATGGTTGGGATTGGACCGAGTGTGTCCTCGATTCCATCCTCTGGAACAATAAGCTTTGATTGTCGGAATAGGGAAAAAGAAAGGAAACACAAAATCGGGGAGTGAAAAGAGGAAAGGGGATAGGATAGAAGGATTACATGGTAGGACAAAGACAAGGAAAAATTCTCTATGTTAGTGGCGTCAGGTTAAACTGACCTGAGGACTAGAATTACGAGGATCTCTACTGCATTTTTCTTTTTGTATTACCGATTGTGTCCGTTTTACAAATGATCGTAGCCTGAAACGGTTACAATAAGTTGTCTATCTGGATATAATATCCAACCTGGCGCGATTTGCATATGTCTTTTTGAAGCAAGGAAACTTCTGCAGAAATGTCGTCCGATAGTCTGTTGAGCACGCGCAGAAAACATAGAATTGTGAAGCGTGGTTAGTTATCTCGAGAATGTTTGCAACAGCTCGAAAAATTTGATAGTCGAGACGTTTTTTCAAAGTCTACAAAACAAATTGAGACGATGTGGCGCTTGATTTCATAAAGGTTACCTCATCTATCAATAGTAAGTTGATCGCTGCTGGTATATTACATATAAGCGACATAATTACTGTACCTCCTAACATGTACATAAGAGTATCGTCCTTAAAACATTGAAAAGTGAAGGCAAATACTTCCTCCTTACCTTATGTGCTCCCTGTTCTTTCCGATTAGTAAGCTGATGGAACATCTTTTGGCGCTTCCGGAATGCTATCATAATTTGAATGTTGAGAACAGCAAGAATGATGATGGGCAAGAAGCGCAAGATTGTTTCTCTTGTCCATTTATAGACCTTAACAACGAAGATGTTTTCGAGAAAAAAGTTTCTTCGAAACCTGCCACTCCAGTGTTCTATAAATCTCATGATCATCTAGAGTGTAGACTGTTGCGTTGATGTTATGATCCCATTTGGCGACGCTTTTGTATCTTGTAATAGCATAAGGAATATAAAGCAGTGCCGGGACAGCATATGCTATCACGATGGACTTTGTTGCTCTCTGGGGAGAGTTCCAGGTTCGAAAATGCATTGGAAAGACTATGGAAATATAACGTTCCAATGACAATGCCACTACAACGAATACTCCAGCCCCAAGAGCCCAGTTGATGACTGTGAGCATGAAGTGTGTTTGATAGAATTCGAATATTTTATATTGATTAATAGGAACTCCATTCTTCTTCAGAAACTCTGTTGATGTGAATATCAGAGCAGAGATCATACACAGTAAATCGGCAACAGCAAGTGCGCGAAGATACATGTATGATACAGCTCGTAGTCTTCGACTGGCTGAAAGTATTCAATGTATGATTTCTGAGTTAAGTAGAGATATGCTCACCAAGTACGAAGAGATTTGTGATATTTCCTATTATTCCAAGAAAGCAAACTATAGGTAGCACGTAACAGTAAGCTATATTAGCTACTGTGGCTGCACCACTTGGCGGTACAGCCGGATGATGGGTATTATTCATCTAAAAATACTAAAGGATTAAAAATGATAACTGATCGAGAGAACGTCAAAGTTTAAAGAATAATTTGCGAGAGTAGTAAGATGGGTTTTAAGAAACATAATAGCTCGTTTTGAACTTCTGAGGTCATTTTAACCAGAAAAACCTTAAAAAAATGATGAGCTCTTAATGCTGGGATGTGGCTGAACATGGAGTGAAGAATGAAATGTCAGAACTTGGATTGGAAAAGCCGAAAAGACATTAGCTGTATGATATAGCGTGTTGAAAAGAGCTGTCGGAAGCAAAGTTTAGATACTGACTCCGGAAAAGGATGTCAAAGAGCTCGTTAGTTGCATTTAGTAACTTATCCGACAGACTTCTAAATCTTACTGTATTTGAGTAAAATAATGAGAATGGGTTAGAAGTGAGCAAAACTAACTCGGTTCTCCGGCTCTCCTATTGCTAAGCCCTAATCGCGTGGAAGTTTTGGACTTTTCTAGGTCTGAATACATCTTGTTCACTCGAATCAATATTGAATATATTCAAACATCTTTTTTTCGGGGTGGAAAGGATTATTGTTTTTGGGGATGGCATTAAATTCATAATTGTTAACTGCTCAGAGATAGTTCATTCGAAATTTCATCCAAAAATTGCAGTAAACTTTAAAAAATATTGTTTACGAAAGGATAGGCAACTAAGATTATGCAGAAAACGGCGGCGACAGAAGAAAAGCATAGTAATCAACAATATTCGGCAAATTATGGGAAGCGTATGTGATATGATATAACATGATCCTCCCTTATCCACCTAATTCTCGCAGATTTAATATGCTCTTTCCTTGTAATTTCGCTGGAATACACTTCTTATAATAATATTATTTGTATAATCTGACCATTTTGCGAGAGAATACGAATAGTGTTATCATGAGTATATTGTATGTGTGTGTGTGTGTGCATGTGCGAGAGGAAGAGTCTATGGCTTAAAACATCTCGATGATTTCGTTGTGCGATTGAGTGTATTAACTGAACGGCTGTTTTCAGATGATGGATGATGATAATGAGGTTGGACTTCCCCAAAAAGGATTGAACATGATTATAAAGGTTTGTTAAAAAAATGCAATTTAAAGTACAAGTTGTTATTTGTAGGATGCAATTCCTGAGATGAGAATTGCTAATGATTCGAGAGAACTGTTCAACGCTGTTTGTGTGGAGTTTGTAAGACATGTAGCAAGTGAAGCACAAAGAATTAGTGGAAACGATCATCGCAAAACAATATATCATGAACACGTTCAGAAAGGTTGGTTAAATTTTGTGACAAATTAAGGAAGAGCGCATGATGAATGCCAGACATGAAAGATAGAAGGGAGGGGCTAGACATCCTGTAAGTTGAAGAAGCAAGCAAAAAATGGGAATGCATGATGACAATAAAGAAAAAGCTTCAGTTAGTAAATTTATGCTGTCAATAGAAAGCTGAAGTGTATTTTTCTTATTTTTAGAAAGCGCAGTTAAAACAGAATTTTGAATAGATCGTAATCACAGATTAAAAAACTGGGTGAGTGACTCGTAGTGGTTTCAAACTTCAGACCGTGTGGATCGCTTAGTTAAATGTGAAATTGAAATGGCAAGATCCGTGCTTCTAATATCCTGTGTGGGGACATGAAATTAAACGAAAGGCATCACAGGCGACATAAAGAGTTGTCTAACTTCATGGAGCTATATTGACTTCATCCTTCCGTTCTCAGACTTATTAAGCCATATCACCACACTACAGCCTTTATTCAACTCCCCTTTTCTTCATAAAATTACTAAAAATAAGTCTCGCATGTCACTTCTTACGTGAGTATACACGCAGAAGGCTAATGCTGTACTGAAGGACCACGATTCAATTTCATTAGGCAAATAATTGTTGCCTTTTGCGGTTGTTCATGTTCGTGTTTCCGCAGACGCTCAGAATGGTTGCTTTCAATTTTGACATTCGTTTTGTGGAAAAGAGTTGAGCGAGGACTTCATATGGACGTCACTGATTTGCATATGTCATCTTCATGTTCCCTCTCGTTTTCCAGTTGTAAAGTGTTTGTCTTGTAACATTAGTAATGCTTTAACCTAACAAGCCATATGTATATTTACTCCTATAGCGAGGGTTTTGCTAAATTCATAATAAGGGCGTTTGTCTACAAGCGCAAAATCCAGCCGAAGTTATCAAAGGCATCCACATGCTATAAGAATGAACAAAAATGGAAGAAAAATGAAAAAAAAGACTACTTAGGCTAAGAGGCTGAGAGCTATATCTATGGAATTTGAAACACATGGATAGGATTAATAGCTGATAAAGCTTATCGTCCGATGAGATGACTGTTTTGTTTCAAAATTCATGTTATCATAGTTTTTCTTCGAAATTTTCTATGACAGCTACTGTTGTGTTCACAAGTAATTTACAAATCCGGTCTGATAACATAGTTGAGGAGGCGAAGCGATTGGAAAAAAACATGGGAGAGTGCGAATAATGCCGAAAGTTTAATACCAAAAAAGATGAAGCTTGATCCCTTATGAAGTTCAAATTTCTAAAAATCTCTTTTCAGCTCTTCAAAACCTGAACTTCCCAGCAGATTACGTTGAAGCTGCTGATAGTGTTTTGGGAGAATGCAAGGTATAAACATGAACTAATGAAAGGAAACAAATACTGTTTTGTGCTTAGATGGCTGCAGAGAAAAAGTTGAAAAGGAAAAACTCACGATTAGACAAGTGTGGAATTCCGGAAGAAGAACTTTATCTGATGCAACAGCAGCTGATTCAGAAGGTGGCGTTTGGTTTTATTTGCTTTCACAATGCAAAACAGGACAGTATCAATACACAAGTTCTTACATTCAACTCTAAGCTATTTACTCGGCAACAATATATTTCCCATTTTGGAATCAATCAGTATTGGGATGTTATTTTTGATAGGCGCTATGCTTTTAGCTCTCCTGAAATTTAGATTGTAAACAGTTTTGAATGTTGAAGAACATGTGTAAAAGTAGATAGATGGGCATTATCCAATATGCATAGCACATGGGTTGTAAGGTGATGATGGATTGTGCTGTTTCTTTGGAAAATTCACAAATCAATAAGCCTATTGGAAGCTTAATGTATTATAATTTTTTGACACGAATGAGAGAGTGAGGTTTGGTATTGGACTTTGGAAGAGGATATGATAAGAACAGATAATTTGAATTGTCTTCCGATTTGTTCATCAAAAAACGTTCTGATTGGCCAAGTTCATAGGAGGACCAGACATCGTGCTAAAGCTAGGGAGATTTAGTCAATCCGTGCATAGCTTTCATCCAAAATTCATAGGTGCTCTGTAAATTTAGTTATCCTGACGCGTGCATCTGGATGTAGAAAATAGCGAGAACATGAAGGGAGGGAGTGACAACCTAGCATTACTCCCCGGGAGTTCACTAGTTCAGCAGTGAAGATAGAAGATGAAAAGAGAAAGGAACCCTAGTGAAAGAGAGAGAAAGAGAGAGAGAGATAGAGAGAGAGAGAAAGGGGGAAGCTGTTGAGCTTGGAAATCAAGGAAGAGCTAAGACTTTCATGAGCAAACAACAGATTTCTTATATTAATTGAGGGAATTATAGTTTAGTAAGGAGTCAAACATTAAGGCTTTAGTGACAGCATGTGTGATAGACAATTATTTGTTTACCTAATTTAGGATGGAATCCTTTATTTGAAACATTCTGTGACAATGGGCTAGCTTAGAGTAGGACCTGACATTTATTAGTAAACGTCTGGAAAAATGATGTGACATCTCCATAAATGGTAGATAACTTCTGTTGTCATTTTTTGATTGTGACGTGAGAATATGAGAGAATGGAATTCCCTTTCTGTTTAGAAGATGGATTTGAAATTTAAAGAGTTTTGAACATTCTTCTAACAAAGGGAATAAGTTCAAGAAGATCCATAAAGTTTAGAATATCCAAACAAGATGACGGAAAATTCGCAATGGTTGACGGCTGTTCTTAAGCTTGACTTGCCCATAACAATTATTTCTTTTGATTTTGCTAAGGAAGGAGAAGGTTAAAGAATGTGATGGGCTCTTTAAGAGAAATACTTCTTAATATGCACTTCTAAAGGAAATGTGAAGGGCTGCGAAATAGCCGTCGGAACATAGCGAATAATAATGGAAATTTTTTATTAAGAGGATAAGTGAGAGTTGGACGAACGAAAGTGAAGCGAGAATTAGAAAAGAAAAAGCAGAAGAAGATTCATTTGGTCCATGCACAACCGTCTCGCGTGATCTGCAGAGCCGAAATGATTTATGCGTCACACACGTCATTCACGTAGCTTTTCGAATATGAGGCGTGAAATGAGACATGGGATCAGAATTTCATGACGAAATTGGCTTTGTGCCTATTAAGGAGAAGAACACGATGTGAAAGATGCAGATCGCTAAACTATTTTTTTCTCTCTCGCGGCTAGGAAGTAAATGAAAAATTTAGAAGCTGATTTTTGACTATCCACATTTAGAAATCCCCCTGATCTCTAGTGAATAGTCATATTTTTCATTTACTCGCAAAAAAACGTTTGTTTTCTTTTCATAATTGATTTGTTTTCTGTCATAGTTTGATTGCAAGGCTTATGAGGAATTATACATTTCTATAACAACGGGATAACACTTGATTAGGTTTCATATCCTTATTGGGGAAGAAGACGGAGGCAACAAATATAAAATATGCTTGGGATTTCCACAAGAATACTTCTATTGCCCAATGTGTTTTTTGTATGGGATATCTTCTGCTTTTGTCTTATTGCTCTCCATCTTTCATTCCTTACTCTCTTTCTCTCTTCCTCTCTCGGATCCCTCTTTGTTATATATGGCTTCTGTCTTCCCCTCTCTAATATTCTTTTCACTCCTTGCCCGACGTTCCCAATTTAGACATTAGGTTGTCTTACTTAAATTTAACTTCTATTATCTGCAGGCGCTAGTTATATTCGTCAGTTAACTCTCGGAATGAGAAAAGCTCAAACGACAAGTGCTCATTCATCACTCAACACAGTCCTCATTTTTTGATGGATACATATTGTGTTTGTCACCAGATTTAGTTGATTTCCTGTTTCGTTCAACTGTTTTTTCTGTTAGGGAGCTCTGTTTAAGTGCGGAACGCGAAAAACGGAATTTTCCTTGTTCTCTCTGAGAAGCCGCCGCTCTCTCTCCCTCTCTCTCTCTGGGGTTCGAGCGGAATCATGGCATTTGGAAAAAAATTGTTTTGTCAAGTGTTTGCCCCTCCATAACTGACTCATTTTCATTACAGTTCTGAGAAAACGAAATTACCAACAATCATGCTGTTTCCTAGAAGGAAATAAGCTGGAATGTTGGAAAATAAAATGTTTCGTGTTTCCTGTCGGGAGGAAGGGGGGGGGAGGCAAGTGAGAGACGCTTGACTACGACATTCCTTCAGTTTTAATAAATTAATTAAAACTGCGTGTTATGTAATGTGGTAAATACTTTTTTGCTTTCGTATTCTTGGAAAAACCGGAAAAAGAATCAAATTGATCATGCAAAAAGATGTATAAAGGAGACGAAGAAGAAACGTCTGTCTTTCAATAAACGCTAATGATGTCAGGACTTGAGATCTTCTAGCTCATCGTATTTTTTTATGGATTTTCTAAGAACAGACCAAACTTGTAAAACCTGAGAGCATATTCCATTTATTCTTCTGTTTTCATCACTCCGAGTGTAAATAGAGAATTAATGGACAGACATTTCCCTAATTTCACGTGATTCCTAGTTGAGGAAGAAATCAGAAAAAACAAAGAGGCATGCTCGTAGGCTGAGCTATTCCTGTAGCGGATGATTAATGTTTCCTTATATGCCTATGAATATGGAGGTTCTAAATCAAGACTCTTTGGTCTTTCCATAAGATTATGGTTTTGAATGGCACGGATAATAGTCTGAACGAAGACTTTGCCTCTACTTGGGTAAATCTCGGTTATGCAATTAGCTGAGTTCGTGCCCAAATTGGCAGAGAAGATGAAGATAAAAGAGGATGGTTTAAAGCTCAGATTCCAATGTTCGAAATTCGGGTGTGGAAATCTCCTTCTCTTACTCTCCCTCTCTTTCTTCTCAGTTGATTGTTATAATGAGAGATAGAGAGAGTGGAAGTTAGAGTGAGAGAGATATGGTGAAGCTTAAACTTACTGGAGGAAAAGTCTAGTTGTTTAAATTATATAAGGAGAAGGGAGGCACATTTCACTTTTTTACACTTAGCATTAAGCTGGAAATAGTATATAGAGCCTATGTCTATTTCAAGAAACTTCAGACTTCCGGAAATATTTTGCTTTAGCTTAATTTGACAAAAAGGCTTAACATATATGGCAAAAAAGAGAATGTTAGAATAAGACAGTGAGGAGTCCAAGTAGTTTGGAAGTTCTTCGCATTGATCTTGGGGAGTAAGTTGATCTTAGGGGGTGGCATTGTGGGAAGTGTGAAACAAAAAAACTTTGAGCATTTGGTAAATAGGTATGGCGAAAAAATATTTGGAGAAATGAGCGATGAGTAGAAGAATGAGAGGGATAATACTGAGTTTATGATGAAATTGGGAATATTGCTTTGGTGGGATTGCTTTGAAACAGATGAGAAGCACGTTTGGATGTGGATCAGAAGACACAAGTACAAACAAACTGGAAGTAGGGGAAATGAAAGACGAGAGAAGTGGGAAAAGCAGATAAAAAATCTCCAAAACTCTTGAAAATATTGGAAAAGTGGGTAATTTTTTTGGAAGAAAAAAAGGGAAACAAGTGTGATGAGAGAATTTTTGGAAAAGGTGGTGTCAGCTGCCGGCCATCAGTTGGAAACGAAAAACAAAAAAACAGCGGAAGTTCGTCGGAGTGAAGGAGGATAAGGCGATTTGAATACAATACAAATAAATAAAACCTTGGCGAGAAGAGGTAAATATTATAATTGTCAATTAGAATAGGTTCTATTCTTGAAATGAATTGAGAGTTGAAGGAGATAGAATACTTATAAGGAGAGTTAAAGCCGCAGTAGAGAAAATCTATTGGAAAAGTGCTTACTTCTTTTTATGTGTATGCACGCCTCCGTCGTTCGCTTCTCAGATTCGGATGATCTCGGAGTTTTGCCGTTTTTGTCTCCTCATGAAGTTGAACAAAGACGTTGCGATTGCCGGGAAATAAGGAGACGTGCTTAAGAAACTCTTTTGCAAAGGTTCCTCCGAAAAACCTCAAAAACCGCGAACCATGCAGATAAATGAAGCTGAGACAGAGCTCACTTAGGTCATCAATGGCATAAAGCAAAACCATATGGATTATTTCGATGTGTATAATCCTTTTTTTGTTTATTACATGCCAAATATTTTTACGCGTTTTCCTATTATTGTTAACTAGACACATATTCGCTGTGTAGAAGAGAAATGTTCGCTCCTGAGCGAAGACAACGTCAATTTGCTGTGGGTTTTGGAAATTTATTTTGGAGAAGAAATTTATGGCACATAATCTTCTTTTTGTTTCAAAAACATGCAGAAAGCATAGTAGAAATTAGAAATTGAGTTATATAAGCCAGTGTGTGAGCTTTGAGGAGCTGAGCAAACGCTATGCGAGACATGATATGCTTATAAACACAATATAAAAAAAAATACTTATTGCAATGAAGATTAGTGAGAAAAAAAAGGAAAAGTAAGATGAGCAACCGGTTCATGCGAACACAATGAGAAAAATGAATTGTCAGTCTTACGTGGAGCTCACGTAAAATTTGAATTAGGAAGGCGGAGTTTAGCAGAGAGAGGGAGGCGTTTGATGGTAAACTGACGGTGGAAGAAATGGAATAAGAGAAGAAGAGAGACACATAAAAAATGCATTTAAGAAAGTAACCGATTTTTCCTATTAGCATGGTTAATTTGGTTTTTTGCTACTTTTCAATTGCTGCGAAATGTTTAGTTGATGTAAAGGCACCAACATTATGCTAAATTTGTTGTTTCTGCTTCTTCCAGAAAGATTACTTGAGGAAAACTTCCTTTTCTTCTGAACGAGTAAAAGGCTGGTGATATGAAGGCCTGGCTTGAGTCAGGACCATATAAGATTGACTGAATGACTACTGACGTTGTCGTCGTGGTCCACAATGACAACTACGCATCATAGGGATCTTTGAAAGATTCTTAAAGTCGGAAGAAGCAGAACACATTAGCCATTAGTTAATGCAAAGCAGGAATAAAGTGCGGACTTTCTCTGAGCTATGGTCTCAGCTCAGATCATCTTTTCTCTATTCTGATGATGTTGGCTAATGTTAGCCAATTGACCGGCCAAAATAGAATCTCTGTGCCCTCTCAACTTTTCCCTCTTACTACTTTCTATCCTCTCTCTCCCTCTTAGTCTTTGTTGTTCTTCTGTTTTTATGTAAAGTAGAAAATTTGGCCAAAATATAAGAATTTTCGATTCCTTTCAAGAAGTTTTGAAACGGTGAACGATGAAGTGGAAAGCTAAGATGAGCGTCAAGCAACGGAAATGGGAAAATATGAGAAAAAATGGAAAGACAACAGAGTTTAGCCGAGGAAGCATAGTTTGAGAGAGCGAGAAGTTAGTGTCGTTTCCAGATAAGTGCGGCAATTATGTGATGAAATATTGAAGGGAAAGCATCCATTTGAGTCTGAATCGCTTCCAGCTTGGCTAGCTTTGTGTGACCAATGAATTTATCTCATTTCTCAAAAATTTTGTGACTTAAATGCGGGTTAATCTCTAAGTGAGTGCAAACGGCGCTCACATACGTAGGTGACTGAGGTGCTGTTGACGACGAATGTCTCAATCGATGGTTAACCGACTTGACTGTTAAGTTAAAAGTTATGACCTCAAATCTCCCTTTGACTACCAATTGTGGTGTTTCTGAAGAAAAATAAGCAAAATGTCGCTTTTTGTCCGAAGCCTTGTCCTTAATCAGCTGTCAATTAGCTTCTTTATTGAATTTGAGGTTTATATTTTGACAAAACAGTACTGCATTTCTTTTCGGATGATTTATGAACTCCGTTGTTTTGAATGCGTTTTTTTCTCGAATTGTCTGGCGAATTTTCCTATTTTTTGTATTTTTTATGTGAAGTTCGTTTTATTTTAATTTTCTATTGTTTAAGGCTCGCGAAGAACAAGAAGCAGCTAGCATTGCTCAGCTTCGGATGCAAGAAGAAACTGCACAATCGATGTGTGCCCAACAACCAACTGTTGATGATGAATATGACACGTGAAGACGTATAAACGTGAATGAGATTAGTCATAATCTGATAAGAGATGGATTTCTGCTGCAGTATTGTCTCTCCTTTCCCAAATCTACCTGGTATATCATGTTGTGTAGTTAAACTTCACCTCATATATTGTCTATCCATGCTTTACATTTTGTTCCTTTTCGTTTGTGTCTCTTCCAACCTACCTACTCTTCAAGTAGTTTCTCTGTTTTTGAGTTGTCAAACCTCTCTATTCCTCCCGCGTTCCCCATATTCTATCTCACTCTCCACGTGTTTATTATTCCAAAATGGAGCCTCATAGAGGTAGAGCAATGAAAAGCTTAGATGGAACTAGTGAATCAAACTTCTCCATTATCATGATTTATATTCCTTGTTTATTTTTTAATCAATCAATCTCTTGAGTGTTCCATTTATGGTAGTAATTACATAATTTTGAAATACTTTGTTTGATTGATGTGCTTCTTCCATAGTAAATGGGTCCGTTCGGCGCCGCCGCCCTCCTCAAAAACGTTCTTTTTTAACAAATTTTCATGTTACATGAGTAAGAAATGTGCATTTTTTGAACATTTTCCATTTAAAAGAGGGTGCAGGGTGCAAATTGACAGCACCCTCTTCCCATTTCCTCCACCTTCAAGGCGACTTTTTGGGAAATTCCTAAATAACACACTTTTCACACCTTCTTTATACTCAAACACAGTAAAGATGTGTTTTCCCAGGTGTTCACATGCGTGGTGGTCTTCCAGAAGAAATTAAGAATATAGAAGCGGTTCAACTAAATTTATTGAACTGATCTGGTCAAAACAAAAACAACAATTCTTCTTAATGAGCTTGAAAGTCTTTTCTTCCCAGTCGATCTCGATCGGTAGATTCAGCGTTTGCATTGCGTTTATTCCGAATATGTTGGCTTCTCGAAAATGAGCCTTGGACACACATTCATACACACAAACACACACACACAAACCACATACGTGAATGGTGCTCCTGTATCCAGCACGAGTCACACGTGCAAAGCTTTCGAATAAAGCTTACCTATAAATTTCTTATGCCACGAATCGTCAGACGAACCACTCTTGAATAGAAAAAAGTTTATTTCAAAACATTCAATTTCATGATCTACCTGATTTCACTCAAAAAGAGAAGGAAAAAGAAAAAAGGAAAAAGAAAACGTGAGCCTAGAAATAGAGTCCACGCTTCGATTTGATCAAGTCGAACTGCCGATGAATTACACCTGCCTTGAGGGTGTGAAGGTACAGCAGGATGGTGCCAAGCATGTATTTCTTCCAATTTATTCAATTGTTGCTGTGTTTGAGTATAAAGAAGGTGTGAAAAGTGTGTTATTTAAGAATTTCCCAAAAAGTCGCCTTGAAGGTGGAGGAAATGGGAAGAGGGTGCTGTCAATTTGCACCCTGCACCCTCTTTCAAGTAGAATATGTTCAAAAAATGCATATTTCTTACTCATGTAACATGAAAATTTGTTAAAAAAAGAACGTTTTTGAGGGACCCATTTACTACTTTCCGTCGTAGTGACAGGATTGTGTATAAGTTTGAGAGAAGGAGCGGGCTGGAAAAGAGGCTGAAAGAGGAAAAGCTGTTGACTAAACGTCATACAAACAACCATAAACAACAACTTTATGGAAAAGAGCTGTAGACATGTCGTCTGTTTGCTGACTGTATTTTCGAGTTCCTCCACTATAACATTCGTTTTGATTGTTTGTGATTTCAATGATATCCGTTCCTTTGTGAAGCATAATTTCTCATAAAAGTTGAGTTCATACTTTGGAGTCTTGTTGTTATTGTGGGAACAACGAAGCAGGGAGAGAAAGGCTTACGGGGGTATAAGGAATAGAAGTGTCGCATTCAATCTGTTCATCTTCCTCATCGATGACACAGACGACAAAGCTGAATATACTGACAAGAAAAGTTCATTGAACTTCAAACAGGAAAAACAATTTTTTATTTATTGATAGGTCAGCGAAATTTACATAATTCATATCACAGTGTATTTGTTTGAGAAATAAAAGAGAAAAAAAAACATTTGGAATAAATCTGTTAGATATACTTCTTCTTTGAAACTTTGTTCTATCTATCGTCTACACCAGACTGATGAGAGAGCGTTATCTGCGACTAGCGGGTTAACTTTAAATCTTTTTTTTTCAACGTTTTTAAATTCTGCTCTGTATTGAATGGCAAATAAGGTTGTCATAATTGCTTCATAAGTGTACCGATGATGAGAATGATGATGATGATGATAATGATGATAGCTATGATAAATAATTCGAGAATTAAATATATTTCTTCAATCAACACAAAACAAACTTCCTCAAACGTCAGTTGGAACTAAAGTTATTGGAGAGTATGGATTGTATTGAACATGCTGGTTATAATCCAGGACTGAAGATGATCGATGATGAGATGATAGAGGAGCACTTCTAGGCCAGTCAATTCCTTCCGGAGGAGGTGTTTGGGGACAATTCTCAATATCGGCTATGATACTAACTGATAAAATGAATTTAACTCTGAAATAATTATTATAAGTTGATGCTGTATGTTTTTGATTCTTACGATGGATCATATCGTTCACACAATGCAATGAGTGATGGTTCCTTCTTCTCTTGTGTCAGGGCACTGATGGTATAGAAGTAAAGAAGCTGTTGTGGAGGAACATCTTGTAGTGCTGACCACCCATTTTGGACGTAAGCCTTCAATTATATGAATGAGTTATGTTTTGAACATATATCTTTTCCAACCTGAGCCACTAGAGGAGAAGCTAATCGGATATTAACACTTCCTCGTCCGCTGGTTGCAAAGCCATCTCGGGCAATGCGGGACATACAAGCTTGTGCTTGAGGATCTTCTCTAACCTATAGGAACGGAAATTTTGAAAAATATCCTTCAGATCTGCAAACCTTCATAATGACATCTTTACATAAAGTATTAATTCTAGCGAATGAGCAGCGGTTGTTGTGTTGTGGCCAATCGTTCGCACTAAACAAGGAAGTTTCCATGGCTTCAAAACGTTTTCCAACTTACCGACAATCTCGTGAGCAATAATACGTGTAACAATGTTTACAAGAAACAAATTGGAGTTTTGCTTGAGATAATTCGCGAGAACGATGACAGAATGAGCAGCGAACGAACAGAGCTTCCGACTGGAAAGAGCTCATTCGTATATCAAGATCATGATTTGCGAGAACGCAGGGTATGAGAACCCACTAACCTTCAATAAGTTCTCAGCTATTTCCGGTTGCTTCATAACTTTGTTCATCAAGGAATAGTTGTTTGTGTAAATTCCTGGTCCGTCGTTGTTTCCCTGATACACATTGTCCATAGCACTGTAATACCATTAATATTATATCGTTATTAGTTTTCAGCTTTTCCCAGCTGAACAGGGCTTTACTTGGCTTCAGACAAACGTGTGGGCCTTGTTGATTGGAAAATAGAGTCCAAAACTTCTTCTATTGTAACTCTTCCGCCATATCTTGTTGTGTATGCTCCTAAAAAATTTCAAATTATTCCGATTTTGTACTTCGATACAAATGGAAGATAATGAAGAAGGAACTTACCATGCTGTTCGGGATATTTGGGACCTACAAATGTATCTGCTACTTCTATTACTCGGGAGCTTCTGAATGTGGGTGTAAAAACATATGAACTGATATGAACAGCATACCTAGTTCTTTCGATGTTCCATGTACCAGGTATTTCGGATACAGTATATCCAGGCAAGGTTTTGGGTGGAAGAGCTGAGTCATGGAAGTGCACAGAGGTGATAACCTGTAGAATATATTGTTAGAAGAGCGAAAGTCATTAAAATCTCAGAATTGTGTTTTTGTTTCACTCAACAATTCGCTTCTCAATTATTTATGAAATTCCTTTCAACTTTAAATTTTATCTTTTTTCTTGTTTTAGAAGCTGTAGCTCCGGAAAAGGCACACACACGCAATAAGAGAATAGATTAGGTGCAAATTTGAGATAAAATAGAAGTCAAACTGATGATACTTAATATTCATGCTATATAAGGGACATTTCCAAGAAGAAATGCATGACAACCTCCGAATTATGATTATTTCAATGATGTTACGTGAACAAAGAGCATTCACTTTTGATCATCTCCACAACTGCTGGAGTTTCAATAATTTGCATGTCAACAGGTTTTTTTGTTTTTCCATGGCTGAGACGAGAGCCGAACCAACGACTTCATTTCGACTCAATTAGGTGCGCGCATATGGTTAGATGATGCACTTGCTCATCAAAGCGTTCACTCTCTTCACGCGAACTTCTAACAAGGCTTTTTAACAACAGAGAAACGTCCAAACATTACCTCTTGTGAAAGTGAACGACGGGGTTTTGGTGATGGACGAAGCGGCTCCTATAATAACGAAGTACTTTAATTGAAAAGGACACAACGATGTTCTTTAATACAAATTTGTATTTTAATTAGCGAAAGGGAAAAACAAGCAAGCAGGAAAGATAATCATGCAGAAAGAGGAAAGAATTTGAAAGAAAAAGAAACATTTATTAGAGGGAAAACGTGTGTGGCAAATATACAAATGAGTCATCTGTGTAAATGAGCAAATATCTTACCCAACAAGATGGAAGCAGGCAGATATGGTGTTACATAACTATTTACAAGAAGATCTTGACACAACATGGATACTATACTAACTATGCATATATATTATGTATATGTATATGTATATAATTAATCACGATGATAATCACCAATAGTACACAAAAACAAAATCACAATTGGGAGAGAACACCAACTTAGAAATTAAAAAAAAAATTTTTTTGAAACAGAAAATTGTTCGTCATGTTCCTCCTGTGTACATTCACGAATACGTTCACCACATATGTTCACGAACTGTACGATAGGCTTGATGGCGAAAACGAAAAATGCGTGTAAGAAGGGAAAATAGGTAAATCTGCATAGAAGGTAAGCAACGTAAAAATAAGGAAATCATGCTTTTTATGTAAACATAGGAGTATCACTATACATTTTGGTAAAAATCACATGTGTGAGATAGGATAGGTCGGGAAAAGTTGACAGGATAGGGGTTAAGCATAGAAGCTGCGAACGTTCTCAAATAAAGACTCAAGCAGCTAATTGTAGTTCGTCACAGCGTTCAATCGAGACATGCTTCTGCACAAACTGATTCAGAGAGCTACTACCTGTCGGTTGATCTGATCTTGAGCCAAATGGTGAAGTGAACTTCTTGATCTTCTCATATCTTCTATTTCATCCTTATAGCGATCAAACATTCCGCGGGGCATATCCAAGTTTTGGTGGCCAGATGGAGTTTGAACCGGGGCCTGCGAGTAACCTCCGTTGGTATAATTAAATCCTTGACTGTATTGTTGTGAATAATTATCTACATATGGACGTCTAGGCAAAGTCAAGTCAACATCAGTTGGACGGCCAGTTGGGCGATTCTCGCGGTACCTGAATATTCATGCTTTATTTTCTCATTCGAGGTTTCAGGTCTTACCAGTCAGGAACAGTAAGTTTCTCTGTGCTCTTTCTGAACCGAAGTTCGTGCTCGGACACATTGCGAGATCTTGGGGAAGCTTCCATGGCCTTCTGGAGCTGATTCTCAGGTGGCTCAGTTTCCTCACGGAGTCTGGAACATTTCAATGAATGAAGGCTGATAGAAGTGTTGTTAAACCGTCTATCCATGAGATAATCAGCACTTCTACTTCTAATATGAGCATCACTTGGGCCAGTAGCATGGTCAGATGCGTCTCTACGGCTCATTCTATTGTAATCTACAACAGAGCCAGACCGACGATGAATCTCATCAAGATTTGTTTCTTCCACCTAGAAAATATATTTAAATTAGAAAGAGTTATGTTTGTTCATGTGTTGTTTTGATGGCAAGCACCCCTTATACGGCAACATGCAAAGGCCGTTAAGGATCGTTGTTTTCGAGTTGAATGTTAATCCTAAACTTCAAAGGGAAAGCATGTGACATTGTGTTGATTTCATGAAGTTTTGTTTGAAATTTCATAAAACTAACATTGACTTAACGAATGGACTAACAGATCATCGTCTGTATTCACAAGTGCAAACACAAAGCGATATAGTGCGTATAAGGAAAGGAAAATGCTACGAAAGGGAAGGTGCTCTTACCTCACGAGTTGTTGAAGCTAAATCAGGACGTCCAGTATCAACATCAGTCTCTACATAATTCTGAGAATACTGTCTAGATCTACTATAGAGGTTCGGCTGAGACATTCTCATGCGGTATGCGGCGTACTTTCTCTCCGTTTCTTCCAGAAGACGTTCGAATTCCTGTACAAGGAAAAGACAGCGTTAAAGAGAGAATGAGCAACAAGTGGAAAGTATAAGCTAAGAACTAATTCAGGAGAGTCATACTGAACGATTGAAAAGATTGATAGCTAGAAAGCTTTTCAGTATGGCTCTCCAAAGCTTTGATTGGATAAGCTACACCCCATAAAGCGAAAGCGTTAATTCCTAAGAGATCAAGCACCTGTTATCGTGCTTTAAAGCACTTTTTTGTTTTCAAATAAAACATTCAAGAAATTACAAACCTTTCCATATTCGCTTGGACCAACGCGTGAGTAAGGCAGATTGTCCACATCATTCTTCGATTTGAATTCACTATCATGGAATTTTTGGAGAAGTGGTCCTCTGTATTCAGGACGACTTCTGACAGATAAGTCATCAGTTGAACGTCTCAAGAAACGATCGTTCAAATCTGAAACCGTCACAAGCATATTGACCATCTACATTATGATTGAATTGAAATATATATTTTATGATAATTATTATTATTTTGCTTTAATTTTATAATTTTGTGTGGGTGTCATCATCGGATGATTCATGTTCATGCTGCAAGCCGGCCATATCACAAATATAATTTTTCTTCTCATTTCTCTGTGATTTAGAGATGTGGAGTGTCGGTGATGTGTGTGACAATGGATCTATGAAATCCTCATAACCAACCCCCTTTGGTATATATCAATTGAAGAATGACTATATAAGGTTATAAGAAGAGATAATCAATATAATATACAAATGTTTTTCTTCATCTCTTTGTTAGATAATTATCACAATGATTCCGGATATGAAAGTATATATAAATGATAATAATAAACACACCGAAAGTATGTGATGCAAACTATGAATATTCATTTAGCTCAATCATACAAAATGTAAAAGAATTTCCTTTTTCTCTCTTCAAATGGAAAGAAAAATGATTTTTGAAGAAGAAAAATAAAAAAAAGAACTGAGCAGCTTGCGAGGGATAGGAAAGGACAAGGTGAAAGCAACATTGCTGGTTAGGGTTTCATCCATTATGTCACACACACACACACACACACTACACTACACACATATAAACACATGTATATACATATGAATTAATTAAAATAAGCTTTCTGTTGAATTTTGTGATTGAACTTTATGAAATCGAAAACACGGTTGAGACAGTAAGATGGTTGATGAGATGGATTGAGTGAGAGATTGATCAAGAGTGTGTGAGAGCGAGAGAGAGAGAGTGACAGAGAGCTTATTTTCATTAATTTCTATAAAAAGCATTTCTGATCAAACAGAACTTCTTGATATGTTGTTTGAGATGCCAATATGTAAATGTAAAAAACAGAAAAAAACCGAAAGAAGACCATTGGGATTAACTGTTAATGAGGAATAACACATAGATACTATATGTTTATCATGCAAAGCAGTGAAATTAAAAGATAAAGCTGTAACTTCTTAGCGAGGGAGGAAAAGCTATTGAAGTAGAAGAAGAAGAAGAAGGATATACAGCGTTATCTTTTAATATATTAAGTGCATAAAGTGAATATCCTAAAGGTTTTTGTTTGATTTGTCATCCGAAATGTGTTTTGAATGTCATCGGTTTAGCTTAGTCAGATCAGCATTAGCCATTGAAGGATGTTTTTGTAAAGAAATGTGAATAACATAAAGAAACTACTTCTAAATGAGAGTTGATATATACATATTGTATGAAATTAAAGAAGAAATGAATTCATTTCTCTCATTTGGAAGTGTTTCATCTACTACTGCCCAATACTAGAAGGTATATCAGTCTATACATGAAGTCTAAGCTCACTAAAGGTAGCGAGTGTGTAATTTGAAGCGTTATATCTATTTTCCAATTAATTGTTTGAAAAAACCTATTCAAATGAAAAAGCTTGGAAAGTGCTTTTGCGGGTATGGAATAAAAGAAAAAAGAGGTTCGGGGGTGGGAAGATATGATAAAGCCGACTTGTAGTAGGAACGTAACCGATGATAAACGTAATTGTAAAACGTAACCGAATTAGGTGATTGTTGTTGTTGTTGTTGTTTAAAAACTAAAGCAAAGTAATTCTGTAAATTCACACACACAGCATGTGCTAGCAGTCGTTTTGCGTGATGTTTGACGTAAATGAGAAAGGGGGTAAGAGTTTGCTTAAAACGAAATGAAAATGAAAACGAAACAAACTCCAACAACTAACAATTAGTATGATTATACTAATATGCGAGTGTTTTTGTGTCAAAACCATACAAAATGTAATGTATAATGAATTTTTTAAAATAAAAAATAGAAGAAGACTCTTAGACTTCCATACCAGTCGAATCCGGGGCTCCAGTAATGAAGTCACGGCGAGCTTTTTCCATACGTGCACGATCGCGATAACGGCTAGTTCTATGTGAACGTGATGATGAGTATGCTTTCAAGTCTATAATGAATTACCTTGTAGATCCATTACGTCCTAAGTCATTTGGATTGTATAGTCTATCACGAGCATTATCTTCATTAGTGCTATCCAATGAGTATTGAATAGCATTGTGAGATGCTGGATAACGGTAGTCATCAACCCAAACGTTTCGGTCAACTCTTTCAATAACTTGACGTTCAACTTTAGTTGTAACTTCAGTATTCAAGTTGTCACGTGAAAAGTATGGAGGACGAGTAAGCTTTGCTAATGTTTCAGGAGAAGTCAAGTCATATCTCTTCTTATTCATGGCTTCTTTCTCAGAGAGTAAGCGACGCTTTTCAATTTCGAAACGTTCTTTCTCAGTTCTTTCACGAACTAAATGATCAAGCTTATCACGAGAACGGCGATCGTCCTTAATTAATGAATATTAACAATGAAAACACGAAAATATTAAAATACCAATCGACGTGCAGCTTCACGTTCAGCAGCTTCCAGACGCTCACGGTCACGAATTTCTTGGTTTCTTCGTTCCTTGTCGCGTAAATCGGCCAAGCTTCGTTCCTCTTCAGCTCTAAAAGGAAATATAATATGTTTGAAACAGAATCCATTTTCTCAATTATTTTAATAATTTTCATATTTTTACCTTTCTCTATCGCGTCTCTCTTTCTCTAAACGCTCCATTTCGGAAACTTTTCTGGCTTCTCTGAAATAATTTCTTGATTAAAAAATTTTTTATGTCAATCACACCTATCGAGTTCTTCTCGTTCACGGTCACGGTCGATATCAGCTCGTCTCTGAGCATCACGAGCAGCAGCAAGTCTTTGGAGTTCAACAACACGGAGACGTTCGTCTTCTTCATCTTGTCGACGCTTCCTTTCACGTTCAATGGCAGCTCGACGTTCAGCTTCACGTCTTTCACGCTCTTTGCGTTCTTCCTCTTGTCTTGCTCGCTCTCTCTCGATATCGTCCAAACGTTCTTGTTCTCTGAAAAACTTTCAATGAGAAAGCAAGAACATGAACAAAATACCTTTGATCCCTAGCACGTTTTTGAGCCTCCAAGAGTTCCTTCTCTCGTCGTTCTTCTTCGAGTCTCTCACGTTCCCGTCTATCAGCATCAGCACGTTCTTGCTCAATTCGTTGTTGCTCACGACGAATACGATCAAGTCGTTCTTGTTCTTCTCTTTCTTGATGTCTTCTGAGACGTTCACGTTCTTCGGCTTGACGTTGAATGTCAGCAAGTAATTCAGCCTCGCGTCGTTCTTCTTCACGTCTACGTGCTTCTCGAGCTTCATCTTCTAAACGTTCACGTTCACGGTCTTCAGCTTCTCGACGAGCTTTTTCGACGAGCTCCCGCTCTTCAATTTCCAATTGACGACGTTCTCTTTCGATTCTGAATGATTAAGTTATCTTTGAATAATGAAAGATGAAAAAGTACCTTTCAAGCTCTTCTCGTTCACGTCGAAGTCTATCCTCTTCTTCACGTTGCTTTTCCTTCTCACGGCGTTCACGTTCAATTCGTTCGCGTTTGATTTTCTCGATTCTCTCGATTTCAATGCGCTCACGCTCAATACGTTCACTGCAATATTCGGAAATTGGAAAACAGTATTAGAATTGAATCTTACCGTTCGATTCTTATTTTCTCCTGACGTTCTGCTTCGCGTCTCTCAGCTTCGAGTCTTTCCCTCTCGAGACGTTCTCTTTCACGCTCTAAGCGTTCTCTTTCACGTCTTTCTTCTTCCAGTCTGTAACATGAATGGTTCAGAATGATGTAAAGGAAGAAAAAAAAATTATGAATTGAATGCAACAGTTCTGTACGTCTTCTGAAAAGTAACACACCTTTCGCGTTCTAGTCGTTCTTTCTCTATAGCCCGTTTACGAGCTAGTTCTGATTCTTCAATTCCGCGACGTTCATTCTCCATGCGCTCCCAGTCAGCACGGCGAAGCATTTCTAGCCTTTCACGTTCGAGACGATCTTTCTCGATTCTATCTTTTTCGGCTCTTTCACGTTCGGTGATGTTTCGTTCGAATTCACGTTCTTTGTGTTCACGATCACGTCGTAGTCGATCAAGAAGCTGAAAAAAAAGTAATATTAATATATTAAGTTAAGAAGAAAGAAAGGGGAAAAGTAATAGTCAGCTGTCTCGCCACAATAGTTTATCAAAACTCGAATCAATAGAAGGATCTATGCAAAGGACGAAAGGTTATGACTCAATCTGTGAAAGAAAATACAGAATGATCTTTCAGTCATCACTTGTCGATTATTTGACAACAAAATTAAATAACAAGATCCATTTTACAGTTTCAGTAGGAGCGGGAAGATAGAATAAGATGTAAAAGGAAAAGACACATACCTCTTGTTCTTTAAGTTCCCATTGACGTCTAGTCTCTTCTTCACGTCGTCTACGTTCATGCTCGTCAACTCGTCGTTTTTCTTGTTCTTCTCGTAATCGACGTTCTTCTTCTTCTATGTCTCGATGATATGTAACTTTATAATCTACAGTCCTCTCTTCACGAGTCATTGGATCGGGATATGTGATGTATCGTTCAATAGGTGATGATCGTCCTAATGGTGGTTGTGATAATGCTTCTGTGCTTCTTGTTATGATAGTGCGCGATATAACCTCACGCCGATAATATTCATCCTTAAATTAAATAATATATAGAATAAATAATAAATATAATATCATACGCCATCATTATTTGCTGGAGGTGCATAGCTAGAAGGCATTCTGTAATCTAATACGGTCGACTGCGAAGGAACTGCCGATGGTGCTCGCTGTACAGGAATCTCACGTATAGTTGATCGAGATGGAGCCGCGTTCTCAGATAGAAGATCTTCGCGTGATGAGAAGCCGGACTGAAAGAAACAACACATAAATTGTTTTTTACAAATAAAATAAAAGCTGTATGTCAAAGAGAAAATAATGAAGGGAAAGAGAGTAAGGGGGTTGTGTGAGTGGACGGAAAGACAGTTCTGGATAGACATCAAAGAGATCTTGTAAGTAATAACCTATATAACAGTCATATGAAGTGGACACAAAGCAAACGAGAACTTTTACGATATTTTGGGCGAAAGTTTATGTCTCTTCATTATCAGTCTTAGGTTTTAATCAAGCATTTCGAAATGAAAACTTTTTTTTTTCAAATTGAAACTTTCTTCAAACAATAGCAAATAGTTATTCAGCTTGAATGGCATTGAGATAGACAAGCCGTTTCAAACAAACCATCAAACTGCTGATTATGATTATTCAAATAAAAATTTTCTATTGAAAAAATCATAAAAAAACCTAGTTAAGGTGTATAGATGAGATTAATATATTAAAATATATATAACTTATATATAGAATATAAGATATTTCTCTTAGAAGAAAGTTATTGTGATTGAAAAAGTAATTAAATAGTAAACAGCTGATAAAGCTTGATTAGAAAGATGATGTTGGTCAGCTACACCCACGTGAATATCAAAAAAATATGAGAGTAATCATATTATATTGATTATAATATATAGTATAGTTATATATATATGTATATCTATAATATATATATAATATATACACATATCATAGAATCTCATAGTCAATATCTGTGTCGAAGATGAATTGAACAACTCCGAACATAAGAATTCGCATTTTTCCCTCCCTCTTTTCGTTTTCTCTTTCTATCTCTCTTTGCGTTTGAGTCATATATGCGTATCTTTTTTCCCTTCTATCTACCTATTTTCTCTCTTTCTTCTATGTAAGCAATCCTAAAAGCTCACATACACATACACACACACGCACACACACACACACATACACATCTACAGGCACAGCAGACACACCTCGTTCACTATTCAAAGACCTTGCATGCACAATTTTTCTATGTGAAATAGTATGAAACAGCCTGTTTCTTTCATCAAATCTATTGAGGATTGATGACAATGTTGTTATTTCGAATCAAATCTACTCGATTAAAGATTTAGTTCGATTAAAAAACTTAATTAATTCATAGAAACATGTTATGAACATGAATTAGCTGATGACAGCTTCAACTTCTTTGTCTACAACAAGCAGCTGTAGAGCTGAAAGCTTTTCGTGTATCTTATTGTACGGGAGAGCCAGTTTTGAAACGGCTTAAACCTTTGTTAGTCATGAAAAAGGTTTAAACAATGAGAGAAGTTGTGGAAGAAGTCAAAAAAAAAAGAAATCAAAAGAAGAAATAGAAGACGTTAAGAAGAAGATGAAATGAGTGATTGATTAAAATAATATTCAAATATCACAAGGAATTATCATAATGATGCATATGTGTCCAAAGATAATAATTTCCTTCAATAGCAACAAAGCATAGCTCAAAGCTCTCACATGTGATTGCCAATGATAAGAAATCTTTTAAACGAAAAATTTTCTTTCATAATAAATGCCTTATAGATGTATACTATACACTATATACATCTCTCTCTCTCTTTCTCTCTCTCTCTCTCTCTATATATATATATATATATATGGAAATATGTATAATATATTTATATTATATAGTTAGAACACATTATTCATCATTACGTATTGTAGATGAATGAGGAAAAAAATAAATTTCTTCCGTTTTTCTCTAAATTATCAAATTGTCTACATGTGTTTATAAATATGACCAACAATAAGAATTATTAATAATTTTTTGATAACCTAATACACACCATCGCTTGAGGGATTGTCATGTTGGTCATAGTTTCTATGGAACGTACACGGTTTGGGTGAGATGATAGTTCATAGACTCGAAAAAGTTCCAATGAATATATAATAGCAAATACAGATGGTAAGCTCATATAAAGCTAAGTTAGAAGAAGACGAAACTTGACGTCAAGAGGCTTCTTCTTCTTCACCATCTTCTTCATCATCTGTATATCTTATTGTACATCATCAGGTAAGAAGCTGTGAGTACATAGTTGTCAAATCAATCAATAGAAGGTGAGTTGAACAACAAAACATTCAAGGTTATTTGAAGATTGAATCTTTAATATAATAATGAAAAAAGCTGCATGGAAATGGAGAGGAAAAGAAATTGAAAGCAGAACACCTGTCATCAGAAGAACAGGGTAGATGTTGAACATCTTACTGTTGCTTGTGTACGTGAACAGTAAAAACAAAAAATGAGAAAGAAAGACAGAAAGCAATCATCTGGTGATTGCTGAGTGATGGAAGATGAAGAAAAAAAAGATTTAAAGAAATAGTGGAAAAGTAAAAATGAAAGACAGTCGCAACGTCATTACTTCGGCAAAAAAAGGATCAACCTCGTCTTTCTCTTGTACGCAAATAACATTCTAGATATGACGTCAGGATGATGATGAGGTGTTGTCCATGATCATCGAAGGTTTATGAATTATGAAGAAAACGATTAGAAATATCAATGGAATGTAATGATCAAATGAAAACAATCTCAAATATGCGTGAAAATGAATTATATTTTCATTCAAACATACATATTGATCATCTGGCTAGTAATCAATATTTTGATATTTGAGTTTAGGTCTCATTAACCTTGGCTTATCTGGTCCCAGGTCATAAATGGTCATACATGCACAACAAACTCAATACAGAAGGTGTCCTTCACATTCGACACCAACCGGTCCGGTTAACTGGTCGTCCGGTAGGCTATTCTATGGTTAAAGAATAAATATACGGATATATCTCTATATACATATAATATCCAAATAATAATAATAATAATCTTATTACAATATGTATATTTCCTGTAAAGAGACATGAAGAGAGAGAGAGAAGAATATAGATATATAGAGAGAGAGAGGAATTGAAATATAAAAAAAAAGAAAAATGAAAGAGAGGAGCAACATGTTGTGAATAGTGAGCAGTGTGAAGCATAGCATGATCACATACATTCAACATGATAAAAATGACAATTCAAAAATAATTTTCTTATTATAGAGTTATGTTTGTCAGACATACAGTTTATGGAAATGAAGAAAATGGTAATATGAGGGAGAAAGGTTTTGATGAACAGAATACCGTCTAACATTCTGTTTATAGCCAAATACTAAATAGAGGGAGGTACTGAAAATGAATAGGAGAGCCCAGAATAGATAAAGGCAAAGAAATAGACGGCTAGACAGAAATAGAAGAAGATCCGATGAAAGATAGACAAGATGTGGACAGGTAGCTATAGGAGAGATTGTCTCACTCATTCGCTCAATACTCATACCATTCCGTCTTCTTAGTTCCCACTGAAGGTCGTTAGAGGTGAGGTAGAAAGAGAAACGATGTGAAACAGCAGCACAATTTGAGAGTAAACCTTGCTGGAGATCATAAGAGAAAGGGAGAGAAAGAGAGATAAAGAGAGAGATGAATGAAGAGAATGCAAGAGAACGAAAGAGAAAAAGAAAAGAATGAAAAGCTCTGAACCTTCCGTCTTTTCTGTTGTTGCTCTATTTCCTTTTTAATATTGTCTAGCATTCTCTCAAGCTTATATCTACTTCAATGCATCTCTCAATTATCGCAGGTTGAGCTTTATACCAATTATGTACACAGAAGCGCAGAATCATTTTGAGAGAAGATATGAAACAACAGAAGTATAAAATAACTTTGTTTTTCAATTCCTTTTTTCAAAGAAGCACAAAACCAGAAGTTTATACTTTAGGAAGATGATTCAAGTCATAACTTTCTACGATATGTCCGGTTAGGAGTTTTCCTCCACAGTGACATTGTTTTTCTTTCTCCTCTATTCAACGGCTTACATCCTAGGCAAGGACATTCTCATCATAAAACATTTGAAACTATGTGATGAACGTTAATTCTTGCCAGTTAGTCAGTTGAACGAGTCGAAAGGTAAAACCAGCTGCAGATGGGACCGTGTGACCGGTCAATGCTTTTATCCGCATTTAACCTTATGTGGCCAAGAGACAGCTGATCGAATAGGTCATGCTGTTGACTAAAAGCTACATGCTACCAAAACAGTCGGTATGGTTATTATTATTGAAGTAGCAAATTGAAGGAGGGGGAGATGGAGGGGATATATTGAGTATCTGTTAATTAAAACCCCAAAAAAATTCAATACGTACCTTAGTTGTCGTATTCAATGGCTGAGGTGGTGGTGGAGGAGGTTCGTTGGGTGGTGAGCTCATGCCTTGATCTGAAAATACATAAGTATCATATAGCTCTGGGATTATTATAAAACTGAAAAGCTGTGCTGCTGAACATAAATATTAGCTGACAATATTTAAGAATTTTATGTGTTCATCTTTTAAATCGTTTAATTGAATTAATTGAAAACTTGATGAAAAATGCAACAACACCGATAAACACAGAGAGAAGAAAACGAGATGAATCATCTGATTCTGTGTCTTCTACCTGTCTGCATCCACTTCTTCTTATGTCTTCCGATCCCGAAGAGGAGGAAAAATTGAAAGACTAAGAAGAAGGAGGAGAAGCACAAGCTTATACATGTGTGAGAGTGTGTAGCTCAAGATTCAAGCAATGTATTTCTCTCGTTTTCTCTCAATCTCTTTCCCTTTCAATACATTCTATGACATGAAAAATTCTGTTTATTTTGACTGTTTGCCAATTGTTACCCTTCAAACTATCTTCAGACAACTCTTTTCAAATATAATTTTTTTTCTTGTAGGAAGAAAAAAGAGAGCGAGAGAGAGAGTGTGGAGAAGAAAAAAAAAGTGATTATCAATCAAGCATGAAGCTGGAGAACTGCTTCACAGGGTTAATGCTGAAGAGCTCACGATTAGTCAAGTATGGGGAAATAAATAGTGAATTATTCCAATAGTAAGACGTATTTCATATATTTTACTATATGGTATAGTTGAAACTTAATCGATTAGTTATGATAGTGTGAGAAGCTTAAAACACATCAAGTGGATTAATCTTCATACCTGCTCGACTGTCGTTAATGACCATCGGATGAGAAACTGTCATAGTCAATGGATATGATGCTATAGATATATATAATATATATATTTATATATGTATTATATAACGATGAAATAGAAGCGAAAAGTTAAGAGAGGTCTTAGGGCTAAGTTTGAAATGTCTATTTTCAATCGAAATAGAATCATCAATTGACAAAAGGTACTTGAAGAAAAAAAAAATCATCGAAAACGATTAGAAACGACTATGACAAGTGAAGTGAAATAATTCTTTTCAGTTAGAACATTACTGGCTTCGAGTCTGAATGATTTCCGATTTTTCGAAAATCGAAATGGTCTCTCATCATGTAAACAAAACAAAAACAACAAAAATAATATGAAAATTTTTCAATTTTCTAATCAAAAATAGAGAATGAGATTCAGATTCGAAGCTTATCAGTATGAGATGATAGAAATGAGGAAGTTAGTAGGATGAGAAAAAAAGTTTTTTTTTCCCCAATTTGCCTTCCCATCACCATCACATGGCTAATGAGAGGTACGCAATGTCCATTTTATGCGAGAAATGATGAAGAAAGATGATTATGCTAGAAAATAGTTGTAGAAACGACCAAATACACATCATGAACTGGCTGTGGCTTGCCGTTAAACGTGTTTTCTCTTTCATCTTTCATTCTTTTTCTCACTTCTTTTGCAACTGTACAAGCCCATTTGAAGCATAAGGTAGACCCTTGTCTGTTCTTGGATAGTTCAGAACTTGGCCATCATCGGCAATGCTTATAAACGGTTTCTTTTGTTCCTCCGACTATTTTTCTTCTTATGAACAACAATTCCAAATGATTCCAATAGTCTCTATTGAAATGAAAATTCGTCATAAAACGACTTAGAGAGGGAATTATGAAGGGAGATAAAGAAAGGAAGAAATAAAGAGAGGGAGAAAGTAAGATTTAAGGGAAGCTCAGTTATTATAGAGAATATATGTCTTCTTTGACTCGGAACATTTCAAAAGACACATTTGGCATTTGAATCAACCTCTTTCTCTTGCAGTTAATAATGAAAAATCTTGAGAGGGAGAGTGTTCCATGCACTGAGCTCCTTTTACACTTTTGAAGAGATTCACACTTTAAAAAATGTTGCAAGAAATTACATTTTAAAAGGCATTCAATTGAAAATGGGGGAAAGAATAGAAAAATGGAATAAGGCTGGTAGCCAAGGTAGCTAATCCTCTATTCGTTTCTATCTCTAACCTCTCTGACAGAGCTTTGATCATTCGAATGGTCATCGCCAAGCCGTCAAGCTAACAAACAAACAGAATCCAAATCAGTTAGTAAGGTAAGAGAGTAGAGACTGATGAAGAGAATAAAGAATAAATTGAAGGAGGTAAAGAGAAATGAGAGATATGACGAGATCAACAGAATAATATAAAGAGAATGGAAATATGAGATAGTTGAAGAAGGTAGTTAGAAGGCTTAACTGAGAAAATAAAAGAGAAAGTAAGAGAGAAAATGTCCAATTGAGAGGATTGCAGATATTTGATTTTGAGCGGATGAATAAGCGGTGAAGAGAGTAAGAATTGAAACCAAAAATCTCTCTCACACACCTTCTCTCTATCTTCCTCCCTCTCTCTTTCTCTCTCTCTCTCTCTCTCTCTCTCTCTCTCTCTCTCTCTCTCTCTCGATCTCTATCTATTCTAATGAACTACAAAAATGCCAAAAGATTTGCAATTTTAAAAATGTAAAAGACGTATAAGGATAAGCCATACACACCTTTAGGCGACTAAGGAGAAACCGAAAAAAAAAGATAATTATAATATTATATAAATAGTAATGAAAAGATGTTGTTAAATAGAATAATTGTCCTCCAAATATCTCTGTGTTGACAGAAATTCTATACAGGTTCAGTTGAACCATTCGGTCAACTTTACTAAGAAGTCAACGAATACAAAATGAACATAACTTTTGTATTCTTCACGATTGTTCAAGCAAATGAACACGATGAACAAGAGAAAGAAGATTAAAATATTTTAAATTCAAATACCTGAACGATCGTAAACTGATGAAATTCTTGAGCGATCAGATTTATAAGAATCTGAGTATGACGCTGGCGGTGGTGGAGGTGGTGGCGGTGGAGGACCAGTTGGAATTGTGAAGGGAAGCTGTTGCAACTGAAAATTCTTATATAATATTAGAAGAAACAAATGAGCTTACTTCTTTAGCTTTAGCTATTAAAGGTGTTGGATGTAAAATAGAAGGTGGAGGTGGAGCCGGACGTATTGGGCTTCTTAAATCCTTCAATGGAAGAGATGGTGGAGGAGGAGGTGGTGGTGGTAATGGAAGAGGAGGCAAGGAATACTCTTTGCGAGAACTCTTTAAAAGTAAACAGATTCTGTTTTTTTAGGTTGCTGAATCAGAAATACCTTTAAATCAACTGGAGGCGGAGGTAAATCGTAAGGAGGAGAAGGCGGTCGTTCAGATGGCCTTTCGGATCTTCTGAAAAAAAAAGGAATAAAAAATAAATTGTAGTATAAAATATTAGAAAAGTGTAATCGGATGGGACATGAGACGTTCGTAGGGATGAAAAGAGTTTAAAGGAGAAAAAAAGGAAAAGAAGAACGCTAGACAGGTAAGAGGATAAAGACCTTGAAAGATGTCAAACTGAGTGAAAGCAGACAAAGGCGATTTTGAATTTTGTATGAAAACGAATGAATCACACAGCATAAAATTTGTTAAGGAACGCATTAAGTACAGAGCATGTGCAAAAGATTGATGTACGGTGAACGAAAAGCTATTGAGTAATTGTAAACAAAAAAAATCTTGATAGGTTGCTAGCATTATTAACCAGAAGAATTTTAAGAATTCCAAGAAAGATGATATACCTATGGATGGATATATTAAACGTGATTTCGACGCAGCGGGGGGAGATTTGCAAGAGGGTTAGATTATATATTATAGTATTATATAATATATTATTATAGTTAATAGATGAGAAATTATTGAAAGATTAATAACCTACTCATACATTCAATCATTTAGTAAATCTATTTGTGTTTTGTTTTTTTTTGTTTCAAAAAGGTGAATGATTGAAATGGAGGAGAGGTGGGATAGGATATACAGAAAGTTATATATAACTTATACTTAGTTAACTATATGAATATAAGATATACTTACGCTGTTGATTCCATTACAATTGATGTTTCGTCCATAGGATTAGATGTTATAGACTGATTTAGAATAGAATCCTTTGTAGCGTCTAAGTTTATGGATACGGAATTGAGTGAGATGTCGTCGTCCCTAAACAATTTTAAATTGAAAATAATTGAGCAACGGAATCTAGCAGGCAAAAAAAAAATAAAATTTGTTTCTTTGCTTGCATTTCTTGATAGGAAATATAGATAGGAAATCGATAAGCAAAGCTTTCTATATCGAATGGAATGCTATCAACACCTTATATGGTTGAGTGGACAAATCGTATTCATGCTGAATGGATTACAAAGAGGAAAATCAAACATATTAAGATGATTGAATGATCAAAAAATGTGGGATGTTTAAGGAAACATTGCTCAATGATATGATAGCCTGAATTGAGGAATAGAATGAGAAATCGACAAAAAAAGAGGAAAAGATGATGGTTGAAATGATTTTAAAACAAATATTATTGTAGACAGTGTCTTGTATTATCATAATTCACGGAAGAGGAGATGGTTGAGATTGACAACATTCTCAGAATAAGTGAGAAAGGAAGAGAGAGAGAAAAGGTAAGAGGGTTATAGAGAGAGAATTGCGAGGTAAGAGAAAGAGAGAGAGAGAGAATAATTTGCATAATAGATTGGGAACAGAGGAAAACCTAAATAGTCAGATAAAAAAGGGCGAAAGAATTTTGGAGAGAAAACGAAATGAATCTGTGAGAAGAGGAGATAATTTTCAGAAAAAGAGGTACAGAATGTGAGAGAATGCAGTATAGAGTGAGAGGAACCAATTAAGAGATACCTTTGTCGAAGGCCAACAGCAGATACCTCAAGGAATGAGTTTTGAACATAAATGAAATGAATGTTAATAGATAGTATATGAAATGAGGAGAAATAGAGATATGAAAGTCATTATATGATCGTCAAGAAATGGAAACAGTTTTGATGATGGACGGAGATATAAAAGTTGAAAATTTTAAAGAAAAATGGTGCAGACTCACATAGTGACTGTCTTTCTACGTTCCTCGTTGTAAACAATTTCTTCATCTTGATCTCTATCAGCATCCATCTATAAATATTTCATTTAAATAAGTATATTAAATAGTTTTATATTATTATTATTATAATATATATGTATATATCTATGTATCTATTGAGAATATAGTAAAGAATAGTTTTTGAATGTTGGTTAACTCTATTAGTCTCTATTGGTTGATAAACGACAATAAATTGTTGAGAAAATGTATAGAGAGAGAGATAGAGAGAAAGGTATGAGAGTATGGGAAAGAAAGAGTGTATGTGAATACTAAACAAAAAAAAAGAAAAATGAAAAGCAGAGGTTAAATGCTGATGAAGAGATGAGTCATCTAACACGTTGAACATCAGCATAATCATCGTCACAATCTCTTCAGCATGCAGGTATTCGTTGTATATTATATTATTTAACAAATCTTATCCAAAAGAGGAGGAAGAAGAAGAAGAAGAAGATGAGAAAAAAGATTGAAAAAGGTGTGAAAACGATCAGATACAGGTATTCAAAATGAAATTAGCATATGAATCATGTATAGTTAAAGCTTTGTTGAAATGTATTTGAAATATAGAAAAAAAGTGTAAAAAGAGCACTCACATTCAAATTTCCGGCCAATAGACGTGATTGTTCAGCGGCCATCTCTTTTGCAACTTGTGAAATAATACTTCTTTCAGACGAAGATGACGATGAAGAAATACTTGAGTCTTCAATTAAAGATCGTAACTGAAAAATGTGTGTGTTGATTGCATATCGTAAGATATATAGTATATGTGGGAGAGAATAGAATGATCAACACGTTAGTGAAGAGAAAAGACACAGAGAGAGAGAGAGAGTGAATGAGGGACGTATAATTAACATTCATTTTACAAACCTGTTGCTCTTTTCCTAATTTTGTTAATTCTTGTAGCAAATGATGTGAAAATTCTAGATTCGTTGAATTACTGGATGAAGGTAAATCGTCAACTGCTTCAGCTTCAACTGAAGATGATGAAGCCTGGGTTGGTTGAACTGTTTGATCAGCTTGAGCTACTTCAATCACAGTTATTTCTTGCTGAGAATCAGATGAATAATCTAATTCACTAGGTGATTCTGAACCAACTGCTCGATCAATCTATAAAAATTTGCATAAAATCAAACATATTTCAATCAAAGGTTGAGGGAGAGAGAGAGAGAGAATAAGGTTGCTTTTCAAATGATTTGCCGCAAAAGGAAATGCCATCACGTTGTGTACATACTGAGCACCAAATAGTAAAGATGCGAACGATAGGTAAACTGGTTGAGTTCCTCTCTCCCTCTTACTGTTTCCTCATCTTCTATCCTCTCTCTCACACTTTTTTGTCTCTGTTCTATGAGTTGTGCTTTCTTTCCTTTTATGATTTGAGTGTCTTCTTCGATCGTTTACATGGGCTATTTTCACTCATCTTACACAGGTCTCACCTCTTTTGCAGATTATTTGTATAATACATGTGAATGAGTCATAAACTATTACCTGTTGAGGACTGCGAGCTTCAGGTGAACGATAATCAGAATCCGAAAAAACAGAATATGTTGACTGCTTATCGATATGTTCGTTACTGGACAAGGTTGTATCAATGACTGTACGGGGTGAAGTGAATGACGTACTGCTCACAGATCGTAAATCATCTGATTCTTCCTTCAAAAAAAAAGATATATTATATATAAAAATAAAGAAAGAATTATTGATTTTCTCAGTTGGGAAAATATAAAAAAAACTCTTTTAAAACATAAAAAGGTGATTAAAAGGAAAGGAATTTCATCTCGTGCAAAGGGGGGAGGATGGCAGATGCTTAACAGGAAGTCAGAAAACAAACAACAAGATGGAATAAGGTAAAGACAGCAGACTATGAATTGTATAAAAATAGATTTTTGTATACCATCTGATGGAGACAAGCTAATGTAAGAAAAAAAAAAGAAAAAAAAAAAGGCCAACAAGGGGTCAGCAACGACTGGTTAAAGGTCAGGGTTGCTCAATGCATGTCATACCTTTTATGGAATATCAAATGCACACGAAGGACAAGCCAGATAATAAAGATTTAGATGAATATAATAGATTATTACTTAATAATTAAGTACTTATAAATATCCATTTAAATTGAAAATCAATAGATCTTAAGGAAGAGCCGTAAACAAACTGTCAAAAGCATGAGAAAGGTATGAATGGGTATGATGTGATGTAGGCAAACAAGGCAAAGGCATATGGTAAATTGATTGAGATTTGAGGAAAAGCCTAATGAAAAGCCTTAATTATATGTATACGCGTATATATATATTATACATATAGTAAAGAGGACTGGTTATACGTTAATACACCTTGGATGTAAGGATTCAAAATAGATTTGCAATGACTTTAAAGTTGAGATGCTTGAATAAACAATAATTCCAACAACTAAAATAGCCGAAGGGCAATATTCAAAAAAAGAAAAAATTAAAAATGAAAAATCTCTTGGCGGTAATGATGATAAGAGAATGGAATAAAGAATTTGATAAATGATCATTAAGAAAAGAAACAAAAAAGAAATAATATCACATCACATGCGTGTGCCTTGTGATGATTAAGAGAAATCAAATAGTACGAGAGAATGCATGTTGTTGTGTGTATGTGAGGGGGATGATGTGTGCTAACTATATGTAAATATATAGAAATCAAATGTTACCTCATTAATTGTATCTAAATAAGCTGGTAGACTAGGTTGCAACAGTTGTGGTGTTGGTGGTAATGGTATTCCATCAGGTGGTAATGATGATGATGATGACGACGATGATGATCCTTCAGGCAGTACGTCTGTCGTCAGTAGTGATAATACTGACGATGGACCAGGCATCGTCGGCTGTGAAGAAGCCATCTGAAACAAATAGCATTTGTAATATAGTATACAACAAAAAAAAAGATTATTAAACAGGATTGTGTGAAAGTAAGCTTGTGATGAACGAACCGACACAAATTTTTTGTGATATCGGAGAAAAATCTATACAGAAAAGCTGCCGACAGTACTCTAGTACTTGAGACAGTGTTTGCTAAATTTTGTCGAAAAGTAAATCTTAGTGTCTATAAGGTTCCCTTTTGCGTCAACTAATTATATGAGAGAAATGAAAAATTGCATAAAGTATTAAAGAAAGTAACGAAACATTTGCAAAGATTTGTTTTCATTCGACTCATCACATACACGCGCGCACACACAAGCACACGATACACAAGATATGATGATTCCGTGCGTTTGTGTCACTCTCTCTCTCTCTGTTGCACTCACTCACAGTCATAAGCTTACATCTTATAATAAAAAGCAATTACAAACTAAAAAGAAGAAACATATTGAATGAAATGAGTCAACTACAGAGTCTTTTTAAGACCTACTTATAACACACAAAAAAGAGAATAGTGAAAGACAATTTTTGAGACAATCCAAGGCCAAATGAAAAGAGAACCAAGGTGAGGATAAGTTTTTTGTTATTTTCACCACCCCATCTACCCCTCTTTCCTATTGTTCTCATTAACATTATTAACACAAATTAAACAATTATAATTGATTTTTTTTCTCTTTTCGTAGAAGTTCATTAAGGTATAATGAACTGTCTATGGAAAGGATAGAAGATGAATGTCTCAATGTGTTCTAATTGAATAGTTAAAGCATTACCTCTATATCTTCTTCGTCTTTCTCGTCTACACTTCGTCGTTTTGTGAAAAATAAAATACGCCAGGCAAGTACAAATGCCTAAATAATAAAGAATAATAAGTAAATGAAACAATATATCTCATAATGTTAATACTATAATGCATATATGGATGTATATGAGATGTAATATGAAAACGAAATGCGCGATCATAGCATGGAACACAAAAAACAGAAGAAGGGGGGGGGGTGAGAATTGGAAGAACGGGAGAAATGCAGTGGTCATCTTTATGTTTTACATTAAATAGAATGAATAATAATAGATGACAGATGATCAGAAGATGAATCTACATAAGGACATTCATTTCTTCAAAAACTATCAATTCTCTTTTCTCTCATTCTATGAACAATAATAATAACAGGATGAGATGTTAAAATAAGAGAAATTGCGAGACAGAGAGAGAGTATGAACATGAACGATTAAGAATCAGGTCAATGTGAGGTGCTGCTTAATAGCATTCAATTTTAAAAAAAGCTTCACAACATCTTATTACTAGTTAATAGATATCAAGTTTGTAGCCATCCTAATGAACATATAGAATCAAAATGAAGTTAATATTCAGATGAAAATCTTCTTTCAACATCTTATTTTCAAACAAAATATGAAAATGACGATGTACTTTGAGAGTCAATGACAACTGAACTTTACGCCAACCAGAAGAATGAGTATCAGAATGTAACTCAATCTTCAATTGGTCTATATTAAATTGAAAAAAACGTAAATGTATATAAATGTATATACATATATAGATATATATAATTGAAGAGAAGGAAAGGAATATAAAAAAAGGACAAAAATGCGAACAGTGGAGAGTGTGAAGAAATGAATAAAGAACCCTGACGTACTTGACAGATCGTCAACCTCAGATCTTCGAGCCACCCCCTAGAAGAAGGAAAAGAGAAGGATAGTCAAAGAATGGAGAGGTCAAACTGCTAACTATTGGCTAACAAGTGAGAAAAGGAAATGACCAAAACTGAGAGATGAGCATATTAGAAGAAAAATAAGATTCTTAGCAAGTGATTAAGATGATTGCGTTGAGCGCAAAAGAAATAACGAGATAGTTAACATGATCAAGGTAATTTCAAAGAGAGTATAAGAAATGAAGAAGATGAAGAAGTAACATTAAAGAAAGAGGAAGTACTAAAGAAAGAGAGAGAGAGAGATAGAGATAGAGAGAGAGAGAGAGATGGTAAGATACCGGCAATGATGAAAAAAAACAGAGAAAGAATGTGAAGATGAGAGAATAGTATGGTAAACCATGTTATTTATTACATCCATGCAGAACTCAATTAACTCTTACATGAAATGACAACCTATGCAGCTGACAAAACATCAACTTGTTCTCAAAAAATAGAAGACGAAAAAAATAATGAAAAAGCACCGTAGTCAATCAACATGTTTCTATAGAAGGTAAATGTGTGTAAACTTACAAGAAATGTTGATAGCAATGCCCGAAGGAATGAGTTGAAGCTTCGAACTGGTGCAGCCGGCCTCGGATTTTCCGGAATTTTCAGAGGCCGGTCTGTGACCCCCATTGTTTACCCGTTAGGAGAAACCTGTAAATAATACAATTCAATTGAATTAATTAATAAAAAAGAACAAAACTGTATGTTTGATATGGAAATATAAAAATGAAAAGTTTTTTCTCATTTGAGGTCGTTACGTGAGTGCTGAGAGATATAACCGACCACTCAGTGTGTGTGTCAGCTCAAAACAATGAAAGTGACTGTAAGTCATGAGCATGGACGCTTCTAAGCTACGTGGGAATATACGTGAAGTAACAAGCGCCTATGCAAATTAGTTAAAAGGACGCTAACAAATTTGAAACGAAACAAAAAAGAGGCGCAAAAAGAGGAATTCAAACAGAATAAATAAGTAAAGGAAAGATTATTTTGAGATGGGGGCCTTTCAAATAATAATATTTGAATAAATACAAAATTGAACAATGAACTGATAACAGCAGAATCAATTAAACATGTTCAAATACAGATTTTTATTTATGAAATTGATATATCAAATATGAAGCTGACGAAGACGCGGTGAAAGAGTAGAAGTAGAAGTTGATGTGGAAGATGAGGAAGAACATTTGAGAGACGTTTTCATATACATTTTTTCTGTTCAGATTTGAATTTTCTTCACCAAACGAGTATGAATGACAAATTTGGGTTGACAACTTCATCCGGCAGTTGCTTCCGCCTTTGTGAATTGACCAAAATCAGCTTAAGGAACTTTGGAACAGCAATAAGCTGCCGACTCATTGTCAGACAGTCAACATCAAAGGATATTCAATGAGTTTCATTTGAACGGAAAGAAATGAAAAGCAATCAGATCAATGAAATAGCTATTCTATTTGTAAACGAAAGAAATTAATTATTCATTTAATTCCATATAAGAGAGATAGATAGATACTCATGGCTAATTGCATTTAGTGAGAGAGTAACGAGAGAGTAAGAGAGAGAGAAAGAGAAGAACAAAAAAAAAACATTTTCAAACAATTCAGAAGTTCAAAAATACACTTTTGCACATGAGAGATGAGGATATCAAAAAGTTTTTCTTTTCCACAAAATATTAGACTCTAGGGAGATAATGTCCTTCACAAGCTGATGTGAAGACTCAATTGAGCTTCTTCCTCTAACATGTGCGGGCATTCCTCTTCCTTCTTCAGCAACTTCTTCTTCTGATGATGATGATGATGAAGGAGATGTGAAGACGAAGCAAGGATCAGCTGGCTTTTACTTTAACTTTTTTTTTTGCTCATTTCCAAAGCTTCAAACGTGTGAACTTGTCAAAGCTTTTTCACTATCACAGCTTTTGAAAGTTAAATTCAATTAGCAATTCCTTATTTCCGCTAATTAGGTGTTAGCCTGCTTTATCCATTTTTTCGTTCAATTTCTATTCAGAAAGAGTTTGCTCAGCTGTCTTTTGTCACAGCTTATGTCGAAAACATAGAGAAGAAATACAGAATGTGTTAAATGGATAGAAAATCTGACAATTCCTTATATTTCCATAACGGAACGAAGGATGAGACATTGTGAAAGTTGCTTTTACTGCAGAAATGAGAAGAAGAAAAAAAGAATAGAAAATACTATAACAATTGAATTTGAGATGTGCAGAAAAGCGTTCCCAAAGACGACTGATGAACTGAGCTCATAATCATCAAACAGATAGCAGCAGCAAGCATTCTGATGGAGCTGCACAAGACGAGAGCCAATAGCAATTTCAAATGAAAATATTTGGAAAAAATATATATGTGCAATGAATCCTTTTTAAGAAGTTAAACAAACGAATATCGTTTCCTGCTATCTATTTCTGAATTGGCTTGGTAAGGCCTATCAGAAAGAGAATGAGAGTGAGAGAACGAATGAGAAGGAATAGGTAGAGAAGAGGTGGAGAATTCATCTTGTTCCGATGACAGGCATCTTCAATCACAATTATCACCGATTAGTATTATTTTATATATATTATTATAACAATAACATATAATCGATATACATAGTATATTGAAAATAGATTACACAAATAAAAAGTTAAGAAGCGACAATAGGTAAAGGAAGATGCGTCGTCGGAAGAAGAAAAGGTGAGGAAACCAATGTTTGTCTATTGCTTCGAATAAGCTTCAGAATTTCCTTGACAAACGAACAGAGCACAAAATGAAATGAACTCGAGGTGTATTGCAGTAAAGTTTGATGAGGTCAAAAACATAAACATAAAATATAAAAAAAAAAGAAGGAGGATGGATGGATGGATGCGAGAGATGGTGATGGTGATGAACCTCTTCAATCTACATGGCTAATGGAAAACGCATAAATTATATGATATGGTTAGAGGTAGAATGAGATATGGGGAAGGATGGATGTTCTCGCATTCAATTGCAAAACCTATGATATTTCAGTTGACAGAACGTTTTCAACAAGAAACGATGATGAACAAGACGATTGAAATTGAAGAGAATAGAGAAAAAGACAAAATACACATATCCAGATGGAACATTGAAGTTCATAAAGGCCGTGCAACGGGCTCAAACTCATCCGATTACATCATCAATACATTCAGCTTATATCTAGATAGACGGACCAAGTCAAAAAGCTCAAGAGAAGTCGCTGACGATTGAATTAAACTTCTTGATAGATATGTGTGTGTGTGCTGAAGCATCTTAGTTCGGGTCAAAGTAGGA